TAGTAGTTTGACAAACAGCTAAGCTAGCTCCATTGTCATGCTTTTCATAGAAAAGGCTCAGTAAGTCAGGTCAGTGGGTAAACTGCTGATAAAATATGCAGCTACAAGCTCAAGAAAAAGCCTGGAAACAGATTGTTTTCATACATTTCCTTTTTGTCAATTTTGTTTTTTGACCTTTTTCCAACTGAGCTAACGATGGCCAAGGTGTTATAGCTACTAACGTCAGCTAGATAGCTAACTTCAACAGATGTCATGACAATTTAAGACAAAAATATTGCTCAAGTGACAGTGACCTACAATGTCACCTGTCAGTCATATTGTTAATTAACCATTTAATTAAAATGTCACTCAGCCCCAGTCCCTGTTTACTGCAGAGGGTTGGTCGTTTTTGCCCAATAACAGTCTGTCCTACAGCAACTAAGGCTCAGCTGAGCTAACCAATGCCAGAAAACTGCTGCTTTGCATTTTGCAGTTTGAAGAAAGAATGCTTCATAAACGATGTATTGTCTTTAACCTCTTGCCTTTCACTTCACCCCATAATAGCCTACATATTTTAAAAGGCCGTGGGGTTTTTGGCTTCTACCCACTGATGTTTAACTTAACCACTGAACCTGTATAGGCTATAATGTATGATTGTTAAACTCTCGCTCACACCATCTATTATAAACATCTGTGTGTTTAATGAAAGCTGCCATCTTTAAGCTCCAGAAGAGGGTTTCAATTAAGATTTACCTCCATGTGTAAAAGCGAGGTACAGTATATTGTGGTCTGAAAGGTTTTTCTGAATCACCTCCAAGAATGTATTTCGGGAAGATGTAAAAAATTGATTTTCCTTTTTGGCTGAATTTGGAGGCCTGTGTGTTTTTAATTAGCTGAAAGTGAGTCTTTCACCCTTGGTGGCTCGTGCTCTGGCAGAGCAAAGCGAGTAACATCTTAAACCTCTTCAGTGTTAGGAAAATATTGCCTCTGCATGGAGCGCTCTGTGATGCTGTCTGCGATGATGCTATCTCTGCAGCTTTGAAGCACGAGCCCGATGCGATCTGTCTTTATAGACTTTATTAAACAAACATCTGCTTGACAGGACGCATTCACCTTTAATTTTGATCCTGGCGAGTCAGGTAAAAACAGAGTCGTATTAGCGTGCATGTTCTCCATTAGGAACCGGATGATGCTCTCACCTCGGATGATATAATGCTCAAAAGTACTTGCTTCAAGACACAAACCGTATAAAGCAATTTAGGTGAACACAGAATCGTGGGAAACTCTCCCGTGACTGAAGTGGTTAACTTGTCTTTATTTAAAGTTAAAGACTCCAATCTTCACGAGGCGAACGCCCCCTTCAACAGCCTGTGATCAGAGCGAGGGGTGCCACAGAAAAAGCCACTTTCCCTCAAGATAAAAGGCCCCAGCCTCAAAAGCGTATGTCACACAATAATGAAAATGTGACTTTAGCCCAAGGCAGAGAGGCAAAGCACAGGCAACCTGTTTGTTGATTAGAGGGGGGAACACAAAGAGAGCTGAGACAGGGTCAATGGAGGGGAGGAAATGGAGGGTGTAGATCTACGTTGCCCCCCCACACCCCCTGCTCTCAGCGCAGATTGAAAAAGTGATAAATATGCATGGGTTTGGCTTCGACAGTGAGGGCCTTTGATGGTATGGTGCAGAGTTCTTTATCTCTGGAGCAAATAGGCTGAAAATAACTGTCTGATAATGTTTACTTTGTGTGTGTGTGTGTGTGAACAATATGCGCTTTTAATGAGTAGAAGAGACTCTGCAGGAAGACTTTTTTTACACAATAGCCTATATACTGTATCTCCTCAACATGTCACAGCTTCTCTGTAATAGGCTGGATGAAAGCGAAGTGAAATGTGAGGCACCTCTAGTAATAAATCATACTTGTATCAATATCCAAGGCAATTTATTCCAGTAATGATAACATTGGTGACTCACAGTACATCAGATAATTATTTCTAATACTTCAGAGTTATCTGCTCTTATCTCAAGGCACGGGAAGAATTTTGTGTTATTAAGTATTAAAGCACATGTAAGTGCACACACAGTAAATGCAGCCTGGAGACATAATTAAAGTGGACTTATTATGCTTTTCTGTATATTCTGTCATATATATAATGTTACAGTGACAGATGTTCATGTTAAACGCAGCCAAAGTTTCACGTAATGAGGTAAATGTTTGTAAAAGTAATCCCTGTGAGCAAAAACCTCAGGCTTCAGCCCACTCCGAATACTCTGTTTCCAGCTGTTTGTACTTTGAAGACAGGCTGATTTCAGCTAATAACAGATTTCTTTATATAGCCGACACTGCTATATAAAGAAATCTGTTATTAGCTGCACGCTAACCTCTTCATTTCTCCCCATTTTCAGATCATATTCCTGCTGGACCATGTCAGGTGGTTGTTAGAAGCTTGTGTTGGTGAAGTGCTGCTATATATAGTAATTTCCCAGCTGCAAGTTCACTGCTACATGTAGCCACATGCTAACATCAGGGAAACCGAAAATCTTGGTTGCTGGTGTTGTTAATTTCGCCCCAATTTTGGATCATATTCGTGCTGGAACACGCTTGGTTGTTGTTAAAAGCTTTTGTTGGTGATTGTTGAACAAGACAACATGCCACAAAACACAGCCATTCCCTGGCTGCCAGTACATTGCTACATGTAGCCACATGCTAATGTCAGGGACGCCTGAAAGCTTGGTTGCTGATGTTGTTAATATCTCAGCAGTTTTGGACCAGATGTGCAGTTGCAAAGATTTTGGGTAAGATGTTTTTGTTAGTGGTTTTAACAGTAGAAAGTGCTGCTGTGCTTTGTGACATTGTATTAGGCCCGTTTCCACTGAAGAAGTTCCTGGTACTATTTGGGGGGCAGGAACTACTACAGGAACGTCCTCTCGCCCGGCCCTCTCAACCGCCGTGTCTCCACTGAGAGAGCGGAATAGGAGGAAGGTTCCTGTAAAATTACCGGGCTCTGGATGTGACGTAATTGTTGCGCGACCATTTTGACCAGGTCGACGTAAGGACGTAGTTAGCTGTTAGCCGTTAGAGGTGTCTGTAATAACTCAATAAATGGTCCGTGATTTTTTTTTTTTCCAGCAGATGTCTTAGTTACAACATGATTGAGCTAACTGGAGTAGTTTCATGTCGTATCCGACAACGGGAGGCTTTTAACAGATGACATCCTGATGTTAGCTTTGCTGCTGCTGTTAGCTGTCCCTGTCAGCTGCAGCCTGATGCTTTCTAGACATCGTGATTTCCCAAAACTGAATAAATACCACACATAGCAGAACAAAACTGCTTTGCTAGCTCAATCATGTTGTAACAAAGATATCCACTGGAAAAAATACTTTTTTCACAGACCGTATATTGAGTTACTGAGTTATTACAGACACCGCTAACGGCTAACAGCTAACGGTTAGCCCAGCTAATCTATGATAACCATAGTAATTACAAAACGTCACATCCCGCCTTGAGTATATCTAATCAGCACCAAGTAATCCCCAAGCCCCAGTCAGGACTCTCTCGGGCCGTTCTGAGTACCTACTCCGAGGCAGGGACTTGTTTAGCCCCTGTAAAAGTTCCGGAGCTCTGGTTCCTGTGGTGGAGACACACACCAACAGCCCCGGCCCCGTAAAATTACCCCAAAAAGAGTCAACACATTCTCACTCCAGTCTAGTCACATCTTTACTTTTGGTCATGGATTTTCCACGTCCACATACGATGTGCAAGGTACCCTGGGTGTGTTGGTTGTTGACGTTCTGAGACTCTGTCAAGTTCTGCTTGTTACATGCATTTCTGTTTTTACAGGAAATATACAGTTAGCATCCAGTCTCTTTCAAAATAAACACACTACTTCAGTACACCACTGCTAATTGATGTTGTTTTTCCAACTAACATACATGGTTAGGTTTAGGAAAAAAGAACAGGGTTGGGCTTTATAATCGTAAAGGACGCAAACACCGCTCTCTCGGGTGAAAGTTGGTGTTTGTAGGACCCTCCCACCAGCACTACTCAGACTTTCACCGCCTTCATTTTTGCTCTTGTCCTGCCACATTTCTTCCTGACGTTAAACTGTAATGGCAACTGGCCACATATCATGCCAACGATAAAGGACGGCTTTTTTTGTCAGTGCCTGACGCCACAAGTCACTGCCCAAGTGTCGCATTTCGATGACTTTGGAGTGAGACCAGGTTGAGAGGATCAGGCACTTAAACAGAGCATTTCAGAGTGTGAATACAGGGGTTCCAGCACAGACAACTTTAGGAAAATAAAATGTTTTTTTAAACATAAAAGCATGGAAAAATATTTTTTTAGAAACTTTAAAAACAAGTATGAACCTGAACATTTGCAGAATAGGTCCTACACCTACAATGGGAAGTGTTGCATTTTTTTATACTTCATATTAAAGAATTAAAACATTTACTTTAACAAAATACACTTAACTTAATAAATGTCTAAGTCTCTATGAAAGAATAAATAAAACAAACTAAATGACGAACAATCAAATCAAAGAATACAAGGATACAACTACAGAACGACTACAAAATCTGACCCTGAACTCAGTGTAAACTTTTGTTTCATGACTGTTTTGAATAGATTCATTTAAGTTGTTACCAAAAACGTTATGGTTTGATTCCAACCTTAAGTGTATAACGATAACGATCTGTACTATAATACAACCTTTCTGCTGTCTCACATCTTCAGTTTCCCTCCTTGTGAAACTGCAATAGAAGAGAACTGACATGTTCAAGGAGCAGCATCCAAATCCTAAAAGTCTTCTTTAGAGATCTTGTTTAAAACCCACGGGCTCACACACAAAAACCTTATTTGGAGATCTCTTGTTTTGAGGGAGATTAATGTGAGCTTGTGTGTAGCTGATTCTCTCGAGTTTAATTTAGCAGAAGTCTGAGAAAACGTCTCTCATCTCTGCGTGGAAACAAGCTCATGTGTATGTTTTGCTAAGCCTTTCTCTTCTCTGTGTGTCTCTCAGACCTGACGGCCTCCCAGTCCTTTGAACACTACAGCATATCAGACAAGGCCATGGACTACAGGATCCTGCAGATGGACGAGGACCAGGACAGGATGTATGTGGGCTGCAAAGACCATGTCCTCTCCATGGACATCAACAACATCACCCATGGCACACTAAAGGTCAGCAGCTTCCTGTTATTAGGGTCAGCGCTGGCATCTGGCGTCTTTTCCTCTCGCCATCACAAAGGAGAAAATAAAACGTTTGTTAAATTTAACAGTATGTCAGGCACATCGTGAAACTGCTGCGCTGCCATTATTCTACTCTCTGCAATGATATGCAAATTACCATACATTTGCCATGATCAGAACAATTTTAGGGTTATTCAAAAGAGGCATAAAAATGCTGGAGCTCTCTGATAACTGATTCAGTATGCAGTGAAGGAGTTATCTCTAGCATAATTGACAGGCATGAAGTGCATAAACAGATGGGAAATCATTTAGGTTCCCCCAGAGAGTGCTGCACCGCATCCATTTTTTCCAAGTAAATTGCTTGATATATTCATTGAACTAGACCTCCAAGCACCTCTCCCTGCTTTGAAAACACACACATTTTCCACAGGCAGGAGCTGGCTGTAATCACCGACACACAAACTTCTGTCGAAACCGAAACTTTTACAACATTTGTTTTTGTTCGTTTTCCACAAATTCTCCCTGTGATATCTGTGTGTGTTTAAGGATATGATCAGACCTCGACGTGGGCATATTCATGTCTCAATCTGTTACTGGCTTTCTGGGCCCACTTTACTATCTGTCACTGATTTAAGTGCTGTGTTGTTTTTCCCACCAGGTGTTTTGGCCTGCGTCTACGAGTAAGATAGAGGAGTGCCAAATGGCAGGAAAGGACCCTACGGTAAGAACCCAGCTCAGTTCAAACCCAGTTCAACCAATAAATAATCACAGGTGAATGAAGCTGCTGCTATTTTCTGTGTCAGTGGTAAATATCTTAAAATTTTCATGTTCATGCATCAGATTTTAATGGATTTTCTTTAAGCAAGCACATGTACACATAGGCCCAATCCCAATACCCCCCCTTGTCCACTACCCCTTGGCCCTTGAAATGAAGCAACAAGGGGTAGGGGTTGAAATCTTTCCCTAGGAATTGAGACACCACTCAGTACATCACCACGTCGGTTACGTTCACGCATATGTAACTATTTTAAACAGGAAGCTGCGAGCCATCTACATTTCCAACCGGCATCTACAATGGAGTCTCCGGTTGATTTCATCCTATCACTTTTGTTGTATTCATCATGCTTCGTTTGATGAACGACAAACAACAGGGGACTTCTGCTAGCTAGCTAGATAGCTAACCAGCTAACATTTATGAGGTAGCATAGTTATACTAGCTGGCATGTTATCGTAATGTGAAAAATCCGACAATTTTGCAGAACAGGACAGATGACAGACGCCAGATAGTGCGAGCTAGCTAGCTAGCTAACAAGCTACCTGACTACGGTAACGTTAGCTATGTATGATCTTTTTTCTCCGTTTCTTGCTCGGTGGTAGCCATGGCGATGTCTACTTCTCGCTGGTAAGTCAGCATCTGAAATCCCTCGCTCCAAAGGGCTAGTTTCATACCCACTACCCCTCGTTATGCCCCCTACCCCTACACGCAAAAAGGAATTGGGACACCCCTACCCCTCGCGGGAACGCGCAAATGTAGGGGTAGGGCCAAGGGGGGGTATTGGGACAGGCCCATAGACCTCAAAGGGTGCTTGTGCCCCTGCCCTTTTTGCCTCACATAGAAAAGTGCCCTTTTTCTGTAGGTCGGATTTTTTTTATTTTTTATTTTTCCTGTCGTGCACAGCCTGCTCTCCCTGCCCTGCTGAACAGATGTTGATTGAGACAAAATATCAGATAGGGAGATCAGTGATTGGAAGCCCTGGGTGATGCCCCTCCCATACCGCATCTAACGTTACAAGCATTTCTGTGGGAAGCGAAACTTATCTCTGGATGCGCATTCAGCACCAGTAGCCTGGTCCAGTCGTGACTTGTGAGTCCTGAGAGTGACGTTAAATGTTTTGGGTTTTTTTTTAAATCTTACACCAATAATATTTTCAGTAGTTTTGGAGGGAGGGGAGAGATAAAGGAATCTATCTTAAACCAATTTTAAAAAATAAAAAAAGTGTTTTATTGCTTCTTCTTGTCTAAATTCCAAGATGTCTTCCAAATCTCGGTATTATGATATGACATGAATTATATTAAAGGGCCAGTCAGTGGTTTCTGGCGGCATCTGCTGGTCAACCAGTGTATTGCAACTCTTCCCATAGGGTTTCAATAGGGATTCTGGAACAACATGGCAACATCCATGAAATTCGACCTGTGCTTCCAGGTATATAAAACGACTCACTCTAAGATAAAGGAGAATGCAGAAATGATCACTTCTGATGTATTATGCACTATTTAATTATACTTATGAATATTATATTCAGTTTCCACAAAAAACAATATATTTAACGTTATATTAAGAGCATTTTATTTTCACCACTAGATGCCGCCAGAAACCGCTGTACTTTATCAATTTATATTACATACTGTATTGTTTTCTGCCTATGAGCCCCTGCCCCTCTATTAGCCTGTGCACGGCCATGTCTTTAAGACCACATTTTTGGTGAATATGTACGATACACACACCTTCTACTGCTGATTTTAGCCTTCCTTTATATATTTTTTTCTTCATGTGTGTGAAAGATCTTCCTGCTTGAGCTGATTTGCATGTCATGTTTGTATTGTCACACTTAAATGTTGTCTTTGAAACAGAACTGTGTAACTTTTGAGTGAAGAAATAACAAAGTCTTCCTCTTATCAAATCAAAAATGCCGAATTCAAGAGAATAAACTGAACGGCGGTCTTGCAGGGCCAGACGTATAAACCACGCATACGCCTTTTCCCCTCACATAAAAACGCATTTTTCTGACTGATATGAAAAGGACGAGATTAAATCAAAGTTGAGAGATGTGCAGCATTGTTCCATGTTTATCAGTTTCACTGGGTGTGTTATCATTTTTTCAGGCTGCACATTGCTCTGTAGAATGTCAATCAAGGGCACATTTATAAAGTTCATTTTAAATAATTTACAAGCGCCATCTTCTCGTTAAAGGACCGTTTAATTTTATTCTGAATTGTGAAGCACTTTGCCAAGTCAGCTGCAACATGAGCTCTATGAATGAACATCCTATATATGTTAATTTAGAATTTACGACAATGGTTTTCAGAAACATGATGGATTAGACAACACCACAAATATCCACAGTGTGTAATGAGTCTTTTTGGCACCTTTGGAGAACCTTGCGATCCGACATAATCAGTCAAACAGCACTTCTTCTTTGCTCCGCTTCTCATTGACAGCTCTCATGAATGTTGGATTGGACACTATTGATTTTGCGAACATATTTAAGGACAGTTCTAGATCCATTAATGGTGAACTGTGTGGTGTGGCAATGAGGCTTGTGCACGTGTGCCCAGCTCCACAATCAGACAGATTAAGGCGTATGTGCGGCTTTACGTATCTGACAAAAAGAATGCCAATGCACATTTCTGTCTTGTGCATACAAAGAGTTTATGTAGATTTATGCATCTGGCCCAACATTGATAAAAGACAAATGTTAACACTGGTATTTGCACATTTTTGTGGATATTTATGCGGATCCACCGTGTTAAACCGACTACTGATTGGGCGGTGGTTCTTCTGTGTGGACACATGTTGAAACTATAATATGACGCATGGTCACTGCACAGATTCTACTCAAACTGGAAGTTGTTGGAAAAGTCTGTGGAAAGTCATTTCTTCATCCTTCGAACAGAGGCGCACTAGCGATGTCCCTTACACCAATATGGACCCCATAAACAGCAGTTTATACTGAGGTTGCTAATGGTAGCTAACGTAAAGAATTACACAAGACACAGACAGGTCAGAAAAACAGGATCTATGACAAGTCATGCTTTTCTGCCTCAGTGGTTGAGATGTAGACTAAAGGTTTTGTCAGCTGTTCCAGGTCTCCGGCGGAACTGTGTGTGCCGCCTCCTGGGATTTCCCTTTCCCATCTGTGAGCTTGTGTCGGGTCCAACCACATGTGTAGCAGGCAGCAGATGTCTTCAGGGTCAGGGTCGACTGGCCCGGAGTCCTCCTGGCATCAGCGGAGTTTGTCAGGAACAAGAGTGAGGCGTGGGAGGATGGAGGGCCGCGGAGTGCTGTAGAAAAATAAACCAGAATCAAAGCTTGTAAATGGGATGCAGCTCATTGACGCAGAGGATTCATAACCCGGCCTGATTCTGAGCCGCACTTGTTAGCTTCAGCAAGATTTAATGAAGGCATACAGTAGGGCTCAGAAGACTGATCCTCCTCCGCCTCTGTTTGCCTCTAATTGGGTTGTTCTGGAATGCACAGTTGCCTAAAGACGCTGCAGTGCGGAGAACAGAGAGAAGTTTTAAAGAGAAAACCTCCTGAGCAACTTTTCACATGAATCGAAACCCTAATTTTCAAAGTAACAATACAAGTTACCATAAAAAGCATCGCGCTACGACCAGCGCTGCCTGTTTGTCCTACATTCTCCACCATCTCTGCATCCCCCTGACAGCAGCCGGGGTAATGGAGCCAGGCTTTTGTACAACACGCTGTTGCAGAAATAGAGAAGAAGCTGTTTCCAGTCACTGAGTGATTTGTGCTGCTCTGAGTCACAGCCCGCCTGCTGCAGACAGGCTCCCACAAATATTTGGATGAGCCATCTTTGCGTGGAGCCACTCAGTGGCCTCTTCTCTCCTCTGTCATCCCTTCCTTTACTCACAGCAATGCCAGTTTCTTTTCTAAAAATTTCTCTTCCGGTCTTAGTATGTTTTCCACTTCTCATGGTCACTTTTTCCAACTCTCGGTTTCCTCTCTACCGCAGTATATTTCATTCTCTCTCTTCCATGATGCTGCTCGTCTTTCTCATAGCCTCCTTCATTTGCATCAAAGCCCCCATACATCTGTTATGGTTACCCTACACATCTGTATATATTAAGTTCCTCCTCTCTGATAGAATCTGTGGTCAACAGGGGCTCCAGACGGCGACCGCACAGTGTTTGTGCCGGAGGGTGGCGCAGAAGGAGAAATGTAGACCAACCAGGTTGATTATGTCTGTTTGCTGCTCGCTTAAAAGCCTCCACTTTAAGCTCAATGTGATCGCCACTTGAATTTGAGGCTGTAAGGCTGGATGCTGTTTATCTGGCATGGTCACGAAGTCTGTGTGAGTATGAATAGGGAACACAAGAGGGAAAATAAAACTCCTATATTGTTCCTTTTAACACTGGGACTGCACTTTGAAACATATCTGTTCCAGTTGTTCCTTCAGCTTCAGAGATCAGAATACAGAGAAAAACTATAGATATAGATACATATACAGATATAGATATGTTGGAAAGTAAGTAAACAAAACGTTGAAGAAGAGTACACTTGCAAGATAAATGTGACACTTTCTAATGTCACAATGGAGGGACAACTACGCAGGTTGATTTTAGCGCTGCTCATCGTGGACTATATTGCTGTCATTGTTCATTTTAGTCAAACCATACAGTTTGAAAACGAGGCGCGGCTCCAACTAGAAAACAATGTTTTGATGCATTGGATGTGCTGAATGTGCATATTAAGGCAGTACAGGAGGAGGTGCACATTAATAATCCTCCAGGACTGTAACATGCTCATGTTTAACCCAAACAATGTGTCATGTGACTGCAGTTGGTTCAGATCCAGGTCGGAACACGTTCTCACCACAAATGAACTGCTCTAGTGTTTGTTTGTAACCAGACTGAGACCACCTCTTCAAGAAGGTCTTGGTCCGGTTGTTTTGGTGCGCACCTGAGTGTGATTGCTGTGTTCACACCTGCCCAAACAAACCACACTTAGGGGGGAAACGAAGTTGAGATCGACTGAACCAAACAGGGCAGGTGTGAAAGCACCCTAAGAGTGCTGCAGAAAAACCTGGAAATGACTAAATGAGTTAGCATTTTAGCACTCCTGTTCCCTCATCTTGAAGTCAATGGATTTTTTTGAATGAGTTTTTGGTTAAATGCCTGAAATAAGGTCTGTGGTTAATACAAGCTTAAGAGACTTTAACGTTTTATTCTACAAAATACGTCTGTGAATACCCCACTAGTGAAATTTGAAGCTTTTATGTGTCTTAAAAAAGGCGCTTAACAGGTGGCTAAATCGGACTACAGAAGGTCATAAGTCTGGACCTGGCTTTACAACTTTACAGCCTTGTTGTGGTGAGGTTGAAATGTTTGTTTATGGCCTAACGTTAGCTTTTTATTTCAAGCGACTGCATTTACACTATTATCTTCCCTAACCCTAATCCAATGGGAAAATCCCATAGGCTTTTTGACAAAGGAAACCAGGGCGATGCTAACTCCATGTTTGCCTACAAAAAAATCATCACCACTGCACTACTCTATTGACTCTAGATGGATAGTGCTTCGACACTTGGCACTTAAACTCACTGTTTTGTGTTGTAAATGTCTTTTTCTTTCTGTTGGCTTCACTGGCAAACAGCCGGCTAACCACGTTAACAAGTCGAAACATGGCTCTCATTGCCCACCCACCAGTCTCCACTCCTGGGGTCTCATTTATAATCATTGCGTGCGCACAAAACAAGGCCTGACAAAGGCATACACCACTTCCCACGCAAAAGTTGTGATTTATACAAACAGACTTGATAGGAGAACTTTTGACCCACTCTTACGAACATTGTAGAGACAGGAAATCGGCAGCGCAGATGGTGAGGTGGAAGCCTGTTTGTAGAAATTGTTAAATATCTTTTGGCGGACAGCATTTTTAGGTTTTCTTCGTACACCTGACCCATGGTGGCAAACGGCGTTGCCAGAGGTCGGGCACAATGTTTCTGCAGCAATGCTATCCCACCATTATGGGTTGGAATGGCGTTACCAATGGTTAACATCGAATAAGTGGCACTGCTAGCTCACTCCCACTCAACCCAGGTGATGCACAGTGCACAGCGGTGGCGAGCTAACCAATTTAGCATAAATACCCTATTAGCTTGGCTGCTTATGTGGTACAGCATAGTGCTAACGCTACTACTAATCTGAAAAGTAGAAAATTTTACCCTGAGACCGACATGCGTAACCAGTGAAAAACAATTTCGGCGGTTAATGGCTCTGTGAAACCTGACATTAGTTATGGACCCAGCGGGTGTGAGAGTTGAAGGAGGCTGTGACGGGATGACTGGGTGATAAAAGTAAGGAGAACGCAAGACAGACAGGGAGAGATAAAGAGGAGGAAGATAAATAACCTAGATGGGTGTGTGACGCTGAAAATTCAGTTGTTTTTCGTCGATAGCTCCCAGTGGAGCTGTGCACCGACCGTGAGCTGCAGCAGCTGCCATTCCTGCAGCCATGGCCAAGTTCCTGACGGCTCCCTGGATACGTGTTCCTCTCCTCCCCACTTCTTTCTTCTCCCTCTTCCTTTCTCCGCTCGTTTCTCTGCGAGCTCAAACTTAATTAGCCACAAAGTCCAGCACTCCTGCTGCTGCTGTTTGAGTTGAGGTGAAAGCAGAGATGGAGGGAGGTCGGTAATCTGCCTCACCTAGATATATCACATATACCACTGACACTCTTTTTCCACTGGCTCTAATACCAGAGCACTGAGCTGTAGGATTGTTTGATTGTGCAGCATGTGATTGTGTAACTGTCATAAGAAGTGAGATAACTTTGGGTTTCTCCCTCATATGGAATGGGATACTTCAAGAGAGATAAACAAGCTCTGGATGTGGTATTCACCTTGGCTGTATACCAGGAAGTAGACTTTAACCTCTGTTATTTCTGCCTCAGCACAGCGTGTCATAGCTGTAATTAATAAAATATGACAGTAATTATTTTTTTACAGCGCTGTAATAGCTCGGAGGAGTGTATTATTAAATTATTGTAATGTTAGATCACATTAAAGCCACATCATGCTGAACAGTGGCCACTTTGGCAACATTAAAAATTATGAGATTACGCTAAATGCTAAAATACTGTTTCAAGCTCGTGTAACATTATCATAAGTGAAGAAGAGTCATAAAGTTAGCAAGCTAATTCACTAATCTGCACTGTACAACAACATTTATCTAAAGTTAGCTAACATTTGTTAACATTTAGCCATCTTATGCTACTGCTCATATCTAACCAACTGGGTCGAATTGACGCCATACCTACAGTGTTGGCTCTGCCTAACGTGCACCTCCCCAGAAATGTAACTACACGTCGTGGCGACGCAGACCTCCTGTCTATTTCTGTAAGCTGAAACCATTTCCCTCAGTGGGAACAACGCGTTTATTTACTTTATTTTCACAGATAAGAAACAATAAATTGTTTAGACCATAAAGCTTCCATTAAAAAAAAGCATTTTAAGTCTTGTGTGTGTTTTATCCTGGCTTCATATGAGTAGAGGAAAAGTCTGCTAGTCGCTAGGCTAATTTATACAATGTAAAATGCCATAGGCTTGTGCTAATAACGTTAGCATGTTGTATTTGTTTGGAAAACGTGTTGACAATTGTTTTGTCGGTGAACCTTGTGAGTTGTAATGGAGCCGAATTTTGAAATGTTACCTTCGTTGAATGTTGCTGTTGTCCCTGGCTTCATATGAGTAGAGGAAAAGTCTGCTAGCCCCTAGGCTAATTTATACAATGTAAAATGCTATAGGCTTGTGCTAAAAACATTAGCATGTTGTATTTGTGGGGGAAATGTGTACTTGTGTTTGAAATTTACAGCACTTCACAGAAACCCCGCCGCCTCCTAGTGTTTTGGAGGTGTAACTGCAGAGTGACGCAGACAAGTATAAATGCTCACAATGGTGTAGTCTCTGCATAGAGCTGACGCACAAGTATAAATCCCGGCTTAAGGCTGTAGTAGCAAAACTCTTAAAGGCGTTGAATTGAGCAATGGTGCATTTCATTCATGCCTCTGCACTTGTATCAGACGTGGCCAGAGACATTTTCGGGTTGTCCGTCCTACCATCCCTCTCATTCTCTGAATTGTGTTATCTCAAGAACGCCTTGAGGAAATCTCTTCAAATCTGGCACAAAGATCCTCCTGGATTCATGGAAGAACAGATAAGAATTTGGTGGTCAAAGGTCACTTACAAAAGACATTTTTGGCCATAAATCAAGAAATCATATGCTGAATATGACAAAAATTCACACAAATGTCTAATAGGATAAAATGATGAAGTGATGACATTTTCTATCCAGAAGGTCAAAGGTCAGCTTCACTGTTGCATCATAATGTTGTGCAAATACACTTTTTTGGCCATGATTCTACATCGGTGGTTCCCAACTGGTGGGTCGCGGTCCAAAAGTAGGTCGCTGGTTCAATCTGAATGGACCACAAATGACTTGATTTTTAAGTACAGTGAATTTTCAGCACAGAGCTTTTACTTTGAAGTGTCTTTTCCTGCTGTCGAGTGAGAAACTAACAGATACTGAACAGAGACAGAAAACTAGCTCGGCAATTGGCCAAACCCAAGTATGACCCTGAATGTATTAAACTGCGTGGACCTTGAACTGATGAATAGGGAGAAATCTGGACCCTGTGGCTGGACCAGTTGGGAACCACTGTTTTACATCATATCTCGGGGGGAGACATTCAGTCAAATACTAAACTGATGAGTCTAATCTTGGACGCCCACTTTGTTACAGTGCTGATTATATAGCTCATCTGTGCTGCCTGGGGGGGAAATGTCTGTGAAACATCCACGTTTTAGAATTTGTAGCTTCTTTGCCGCAGCATCCTTATTGAAAGCATTGTCAGATGTCATAGATATGAGTGTTGACAGACATGGATGTAAACTGTAACTTGACTGGTTGGTGGAGAGAAACAACCACAAGGCAGTAATTCAAGCTGTCGATAAATTCTAATTTTTATTTGTAAGAGTGAGAGTGTGCTATTTCTCTTCTTAAAAGTAACACAGTCTTGCTTAATGTTGAACATTTCATCTGACTTAATCTGAGTGACGTTTTTATTGTTGTTTCTGACCGACTGAACTTTTTACATGCCTCGTTTTGTTTATCTGTTCTTTCCAGCACGGCTGTGGGAACTTCATCCGGGTGGTGCAGCCTTACAACAGAACTCATCTGTTCATGTGTGGCAGCGGAGCGTACAGTCCCGTCTGCGTGTACGTCAACAGGGGCCGCAGACCAGAGGTGGGAACACGATGACGGATTCACCTCACTAAATATACAAACTCATGATGGTGTAAACCATGTTTTGGGGACATGAGGCTGGTGGCAGCACAGCGGTTACTATAGGTCTAGGACACACTGCAGGCTGCTGAGCAATACTACACCACTTACTGTACATGATCATGACATCTGCTGCCTTTAATCCTAAATTACATGTATTTATACTTAAATTTACAATAATTTCAATGAGGTTTGGTGATGGGACATTTTGTTAAGCTAAAAATGATGAGCAAAAGAAGAACATGCAGCAGTTCCCCTGTGCTTATAACAAAAATAAACCCCTAATTCCATTAACTTAATTGAGTTAGTGTAATTCATGTGCTTATTACTCAGCTGGGACAATAATTCATAACTTTCCTTCTTTGTTATTCCCTAAAAGTAGTGTGTGACTGTTAATGTCACCCCTGAGCGCAATAAAATTAAAGTAGTGGTAATACTGCCACCAAGAGCAAGTCAACAAAATAATTTTCTGAGAGAGAGATTAAGTCATGATCATTAAAATGCCTCAGGGGATGTTGACGAGGAATATTTCTGGTTTGATAAATAGATTTAATGGTTTAATTTAGAGGTTCAAAAGAATATATGACTGTTTTCTGAGACAGAATTTCTTTACAACACTCTCCTGGAAGACGTACGGCACTACTATAAGTCAGAGTCACTGTATACTGGGAGTGTATGCAGTGGGTGACAACCAGCGCTTATGAAATTGCTTTAATCTCATCTTCCTGAAATTAAATTTATGCCGGCATCAGATAGCGTTTGTTTCTAACAATAGCATGTTCTTTTACTTGTCTACCAGGAATTTAGAAGTGTCACCACCACATGATAAAAAAAGACTCCATAACTTCACATGAGCAAAGTTTTCACGTCCTCGGTGTGATGCCACATGAGAGGAGATGCTGAGGATAAGAGGGAGCAAATGGAGCTCTAGTGTCAGGGATGGAGGGCTGATTTCTGGACGCTGCGCTCTCATCTCTGGGCCACACAGTTCTGGGAGTGAGAGCGGGGAAGCCCTCCAGGAGAAAAGTGCTCACTGAGTGAACAGCGTTGAGCCACACACTGGCAGCCGCTGCCAAACGCTAATAAGCGGAGCGAGTGAGCTCCCAACCAGGCTCTTTCCGCACTGCGGTGCCCTTTGTCATTTGGGGGGTTTTTTGTTTGAAAGGCAGACTGCTCTGTTTGCAACTTCTGAGCTCAAACATGTCAGTGTCTCAAGGAAAGGGATCTGTTAAGTGTAACAGGCTGCTGGAGAGGGAAGCTGACGGCGAGCTCACAGTGCGGACCTTTGCCCCGAGAACGTGGCCCAGACTATTATACTGTTGTGCAACTGGATGGGACGGCTGCAACATGTGTCAGTGTTTTTGTGCCTCCTTAGATGCTCAGTGAATTACAGGCTATGCTGCAATAAAAGGCCGTCTTAATGACTCAAACAGTCTTTTATTTAGTCTTTAAATCTTTACAGGGTGATTCCACCGCTCAAAGAAGTTACACTTGTCTTAGAAATTCTTCTGAAACATTTATCAGTACAAACAGTTGTCACTTCTTAAAGGAAACATCAAAGTGAACCATCAGTATGTAGAACACATTTTTAAGTACGTGGGGGGGCTTTAAAGGAATACTTCACCCCAAAATTATCATTTATATATCAATTACTCACCCCATGTAAGGATGCATTCATGAAGAAAGCATTGTTTTTCTGACATGCTTCCCGATGAACGAAGAATCCAAAAACAGAGAAAATTCTTGATGAACTTAAGTCATAGGGGTCCACGTTAAACTACAGCAAAACTATATCAAAAGATACATTTACAAGCTCTCACACAACTCGTGCAGTATAATCCAAGTCTCATTTATCTAATAGTATGCTCAGGACTTCCCAAACAGACAACCTTTTCTGACAGGGAACAAAACTTCAAGTGAGACTCCATTTACAAAAACAATAATTTTACCTCGCTGAACACAGGAGCTGCTGGTCTACCACTGCCTCAGAACCCGTGTCCACGTGGTGTTTTCCTCACGCAGAAAAGCAACACATTCTCACTCCGACCTCGTCACATATCGATGTTTGGTCATGAACTTTCCACGTTGAGATACAACGTGAAAGGTACCCTGGGTGCGTTTGTTGTTGACGTTCTGGGACGCCATGTCAAGTTCTGCCTGTTACATGCATTGTCTTCTTTCAAAATACACTTGCGTTTTGCATGCAGTTTCTTTCAAATTAAAGGCATTATATTAACAACATCGTGAATTGACATTTTTTTCCTTCAACAACAACGCACATGGTTACATTTTGCAAATGCGTACATGGTTGAGTTTAGGAAATAAGAACAGGGTTTGGCATCTTACGGCAAGTGAACCCCTGCCTCCCGTGTGAAAGGTGCATTTCCCCCGACACCTGCAGCCACAATTAAACAATAACAGCGACTGGCTACTTATCATGGTGACATGAAAGGACAGCTTTTTTTGTCGATGTCTAACGCGGAGTGAGACCGGGTTGAGAAAAGCGGTGGCATGGTGTTGGTGTTGGGTGTTCATCCCGGCACTTGATAAAAAAGCACTCCTTTTTTTAAGGAGGTGCTCCATGTGCGTATGTTTCTATGCCAAAAATATCTTAACACTTTCATGTAGCTAACATAATGGTACATTAGCAGAGGGTTGATCACACAGTCAGCAGCAAGCCTACAAAGCGAACAGTGATAAAAGCACAACACTCACCAGAAACATCAAGCGTCTGCCAGCCAGTCTGCTCCCAAAAAATTAGCTTTTTGGTCTTTGTCGTGACAGTAGTTAAGCTTAAGAAGCGGCAATGACATCCCTAGCGCTTTTTTGAAAAGTTCAGAGATGTTCAAATAGGAGTACTCGGAGTGTCGGAGCATCCTTAAAGACAGGTGCTCGGCGCAACACTTTTTCTCAAGGCGGCTGCGTACGCTGTCATTGGGAACAACTGAAAAGAGATGCCAGTGCTGAGGGGAAAAAAACGCTGTGAGGAATCAGGGCCTCGATCTGTAGTTTGTTTGTGTTATTGTGTGACTTTGGTGAATCAGAACTAACCCCTAAAACACCAAAGTCACACAAGAACACAAGCAAACTCTCTGATCAAGGCAGCAGTAAACCAGCTACTCAGATGATGAAAGGAGTAAAATTATTGTTTTTGTCAGTGGAGTCTGGCTTTGAAGAGAAAGAAAGTGCTGTCTGTTTGGAAAGTACTGAACATATGACTGGAGTAATGAGACTTGGATTATACTGCACGAGTTATGTCAGAGCTTGTAAACGGATGTTTTGATATAGTTGTGCTGTTGTGAAACACAGACTTCAATTCAAGAATTTCATCTGTTTTTGGATTCTTCATTGACTGGAGGCTTGAAAGAAAAACAGACTTTTCTCCACGAATTCAACATAACACGAGGTGAGTAGATGATTTACAAATGGTCGTTTGGGGGCGGTGAAGTATTTCTTTGATGGTTCATTGCAACATCAAATGACTTGTTGAAACAGATACTTCTTGCAGTGTAGAGTCTGGAGAGTCGGTCCACCTCCAGCACGTTTTGGCGAACGGACACATTTTCCTGGAAGAATGCTCCTCAGCTGACATCACTTGTATCCCCATTCAGGGAAGCACCAGCACCACAGTAAGCCAGACCCAAATATGATCAGACAGGAAGCTCTATAATTTACCCAGGTTACAGTAAAAGTCGTTTGGACCGTCCAGTCCGCCACAAGGAGGGGGTTTAAACTTGGCAGCTGCTCCACCTGAGATGGAGAGATGGCTAGCCAACACATTAGCAGGGAAATTCCTCCTCTGCTCCCCAGTGGAATTTTCTCTTTACCGTCCCACATGGGCCTGTTAAGGTACGAGACCAGGAGCAACCAAAAGGGAGGGAAACCTGAGCAGGGCTACCTTGTGGGACATTTGGTCCGCTCATACATGTTTTATTGCAGGAGAGCCTACTGGACAGAATAACTTATCATATAAAACTGTCTCCACAATCTCTGATTTCCTCTTTTCTCTCTCACAGGAACAAGTTTTTCACATCGACTCCAGGACCGAATCTGGAAAAGGGCGGTGCTCCTTCAACCCTCAAGTGAACACAGTCTCCGTCATGCTCAGTAGGTGCCTCCTACAAAACCCCCAAAAATTATTACCAAAAATAAATTAAATTTGAGTTTTATTTATTTTTAACTGTGACCAGCAGCTCTATAGCAGAGGTTTACACATGCCCAAAATGAGATACCCAAACCTGAACTGGCCCTAGAAATTTGTTCCAAGATCCAACTGGACCTGAGAATAAAAAGTATGTATATCATGGGACCAATTTGCGCTAGAGATTTAACAGACCTGACCCAGTGCATGTCTGAGAAGAGACAGATCCAAGACCCAAATGGGTTCTGGGTCTTGCGTCTACTGTAAGTGGCTTAAGACTGTGCATAAAAATTTCAATATTTACATTTTGTCAGTACGAATATGCTACACATCATTAGCTCAGTTAGTTTCTCAACATTTCAGACATGACATGAGGCTTCATGGTGGATGGCTGCATAAACGTGGAGCTCCTGGCACCACTGTGTCATTCATTTGTTTTACTTTACTTTCAGTCAATCTGCGGGTTAAGTTATATTTATCCAGCGCTGATCACGCGTCTTCTCAGATCCACTGGGGTATTATGGACGAAATACATTCAATTCAATTCAATAGAACTTTATTTATCCCGAAGGAAATTCTTGTGCCAGAGAATCCTTCAAATTACAGTAACACTAGTACAGTGACCACAATTTTAACGATTCACAAACAGTAACAACCAAACAACCAGTGGAATTCCCGGGTCAGGGTCACTCACTGGGCCCAATTTTAGAACAATGAAGTATTAAATATCTGGGGAAATAAACAACTATAGAAGACAGAAGTGTTTTCAAGGAGCCAAAGCAAAAAACAGTCTCAAATAGAGTAACAATAGGACTACAATAAGTACAAGAGTTACTAAAGCTAAACTAAAATTGCAGAGAAACAGGGCACGGATATGAAGTGGCACGTAGGAAGAGCGGAACAGGGTTTTTTACCTGCTGCACAGACTCTGTCCCACTGCGACCATGTCCCATGTATTTTGGCCAGGGGTGTCCAAACTTCTTTGAATGAGGGCCAGATAAGACAACGTGAAAATACCTGGGGGCCAACTGATTCCTGCATCAATTGGGTTTAAAAAATCATGCAAAAAAAAAAGTCAGACAAATGCAACCATTTTATCTTTTAATGAACTTTTACTACTTGATGCTTCCTTCTCTTTGCGAGGTGAAGGGTAAAAATGCAAAATGATCTTGCTTGATTACCCATTATTGTGTAAAGGGCCATATATGGTATATTTTGAAAGTCAAGCCAAGGGCCGATTAAAATTGGTCTGCGGGCCACAATTGGCCCCTGGGCCAGACTTTGAACATGCCTGATTTTGGTCGTCAGACACATTGATAATCAGACTCAGGTTATCAACGACCTGCAATAATAGAATGGTACCCAACCTGGACGTGATTGACCATAATAAAACCTAGACCCAAACTGTATGGGTTCTAGAACCATAAAGACCTGTACTCTATTGCTTGCTCTGTCGATCGGCCCACCCATTGGTCATCCACAAAAATTTCCCCACCCTTCCCCCACATTTTTGCTCTAGGAGGCTGAAATCTGGCGTGGAGGTCAAGTGTGTGCATGTGAAGTTGCGTGTTTGTGTCAATGCCAATTGGCTAAAAGGGGGCGTGACAATGGGGGGATGCATGTATGTACGTGGTCGCAGCTATATCAAATTCACGCCTTCATTGCTGTTCTCCAAGGGGCATGAACTTTTGGTTTTCAGTGACACTGTTGGTACTGTAATTTGATGAACAGTATCTGTGAGCCTCAGTCAGTAGCTCGTCTCCTGACAACGCCAGCCGTCAAATGTCACTCAGTATCGTTAAAGCTTAAATATCTTCACACAGAAAGTGAGGAGAATTCAGATTTCAGCTGGACTTACACATCAAACACAGACCACCAAAGGTTAAAGCAGTACCTTCTTAAGGTCAAGCCGCGCCCTCTCTTCCCTTTGATCTCTGATTGGTCGAGGAGTGTTGGGTTGCTGTTGACACGGCTAAAGGCGACACATTGCACCCTCGGCTCCGCTTTCTGACACCTGAGCACGGCCATGTCAGCAGCAGCTTTGCCAGCTAGTGAGCACCTTCAGAGATCCCCAGCAGGGAGCCTGAGGGGAGGGTGGGATAACCCTTACAGGGCAGGAAGGAAGGTACTCTGCCAAGTAGAGTCGAGGTCAAAGGCAAAGCTGTGGAGGCAGCGATGCGGCTCCGCGGGCCCCAGAGAATCAGAGGCAGTGTCTGGGCTCGATAAAATCTGCACTTCATCTCCTCGTCCTCGTGTTCTGGACCCTGTGTGGCTGTCTGAGGGCTGTCAACACTCGTTCCTTAGCAGGCCAGCTTGGATGTGGGCCACATACCCCTAATCCTCCCCTAACTTGCCCCACATCCTCCAAAACACATGGTCTGGAACTGATGGATGATGAAGTGAGAGTGGAGGAATGATAAAGAGAATGAAGCGGCTGTGGAGAACACACAGTCTGTTATTAGCAGCAGGACACACACATACTGTGAACCCATTCATAGAACAGTCTTAAAGGGACAGTTCACCCTAAAATCAAAAATACATATTTTTCCTCTTACCTGTAGTGCTGCTTATCAGTCTAGATTGTACTGTACTGTATCACCGTGCAGAAGGAAGTGTGCATCTACTCATGAATGAGACAGCAATGGCGTCCTCTTCGGCTGAGCTGTAACATTAGCTAGCTCAGCTCAAGCTCAGCTCAAGCCAACAAGCCAACAATCAGTGAAGCCATTGCTTGGCGCTCTAGTCATCCCTTCGTCTTAATCCACACGCAAAAAAATCCACAAACCACTCGATTAAGTTTAACAGTTTACTTGGAAACTCAAAGATGGTACAGAGACAGTCGTCCATTTCTAAATCCAAAACTACCCAGAAAAAAAGAGGTAAAGAAACAGGTAAAAGATATAAGAGATAGGCAATTAACTCTCTCCAATCCAGAAACTCCCCCTACGGGTGAGAGCGTAAAAAAGGGTGAGCAATTATGATACAACACTAATAGGACCCTTGTCTTAAAAGTTACAAATGAAAAACAGCATTTAGGCTCCGACAGAGGTCATTATTAGACGCCTTTTTCCTGCTGTTGAATATTATAATTTTGGTTTATATCACAATTTGGCACAAACGGCATTGCAAACGGCAGCTGGTGTTTGTGAATGTCGCTCTATGCATTTCTGAACTCACACCAAAACAATCTAGACTGATAAACTGCACTGCAGGTAAGAGGAAGAATATGTATTATTGATTTGGGTGAACTGTCCCTTTAACATTACTTCTCAGTCAGGGAAAAAAGTATCAGTGTATTCTATGTGTATCATTTTAATTGTCTGAGGGTATCACAGTAATTTGTATAAGCAATGTGTCTCTGTCTCTACAAAATGAGTTGCTGATTTGTTGTGTCTTTCCTTTCAGACCAGGAGCTGTTCTCAGGCATGTACATTGACTTCATGGGGACAGATGCTGCCATCTTCAGGAGCCTGACCAAGAGAAATGCAGTGCGGACAGATCAGCACAACTCTAAGTGGCTTAGTGGTGAGCACACAAACATTCTCTAAAGGTTTTAACTTATGTATGTTCATGTACACAAATTCGTAGATTCTTTTTCTTTTATTTTTTTTGATTGTATCCTTTTTTAGAGCCGATCTTCATCGACGCCCACCTGATACCAGACGGAACAGACCCCAATGACGCCAAACTCTATTTCTTCTTCCGTGAGAGGCTGACGGATAACAGTGGAAACACTAAAAATATCCACACCATGGTGGCCAGAGTGTGTCCAGTAAGTGCTTTTGCATGTGCCTGATTAAATCAGTAGTGAATGTTTTGTGGTTTCGAGTTGCCGAGTGCAGCTTTTGTCTGCAGAGTGACATTGGAGGACAGCGCAGCCTGGTGAACAAATGGACCACGTTCCTCAAGGCCAGGATGGTGTGTTCGGTTCTGGAGGAGGACGGCACGGAAACTCACTTTGACGAACTGGGTGAGTAAAATAGAGGAACAGGAAAACTTTACTTGTGTTTTTAGGAACTGTTCTTTACTTATCAGAGGAGAGGGTGGCTGGGGTATGAGGGTTTTTCTTTTTATGTTGACCCTCCCTGAAACTACAAATATATTTTTCTTGAGGCTCCCTGAGTACTGGAGGAAAATTCAATACCCTCTCTCCACCATTAATAACTATATTTTTTTGACACTGCACCAGCGATAGTCATGGTCGGAGGCATTTTTTTTTAATTGTCTGTCCCATTCTTGCAAACACGATATCTCAAAAAGCCTTGAGGAAATTTCTTCAAATTTGGCACAAACGTCTACTTGGACTCAAGGGTAAGCTGACTGATTTTGGTGGTCAAAGGTCAAATGTCAACGTCACTGTGACCTTGCGTCAATCCCATTCTCATGAACATGATATTTCAAGAACGCCTTGAGGAAATTTCTTCAAATTTGGCACAAACGTCCACTTGGACTTCACAATAAGCTGACTTCTTGGGTCCATTCCATTCTCGTAAAAGTGATATCTCAAGAACACCTTGAGGGAATTTCTGCAAATCTGGCACAAAACTCCACTTGGACTTAACAATGAACTGACTGATTTTGGTGGTCAAAGGTCAGTACAGCGTCATTATGATTTTGCGTCCATCCCATTCTCATGAACATGATATTTCAGCAACGCCTTGAGGGAATTTCTTCAAATTTGGCGCAAACGTCCACTTGGACTGCACGATGAACTGACTGATTTTGGTGGTCAAAGGTCAAATGTTAATGTCACTGTGATCTTGCTGCCATCCCATTCTCATGAACGTGATATCTCAAGAACGCCTTGAGGGATTTATTTCAAATTTGGCACAAACGTCCACTTGGACTCAGCAATGAACAGCAATGAACTGATTAGAATTCATACGCTCCTTATGGCAAAATAGGATGAAATGATTAAGCAATGACATTTTACACCCAAAAGTTCACAGGTCAACTTCACTGTGACATCATAATGATCTGGAAAACAATTCTCTGGCCACTATTCAACATCATAACTCAACAGAAGGGGAGACATTTGGTCAGATACTTAATTAGTGACACTAATCTTGGGTGTCCAACATGAAACTGTGCTGATTGATGTAAACTGTTACTGCAACTTCACAGATTCTCGGAGCCATACAACCCCGAGGTGATAACTGTAGTTTATATTCGCACCAAATGTAGCTAATGGAGCCAAAGCAACAAGCAAACAGCACAGAGGGAGTGAGACTTATCACCACAAAAGCTAATCTCTTGAGCAAAGTGCATATCCTCCTCATAAATCACATTATCATAAAAGTGTGTGTGCACTAAAGCAGAATATTTGTGCATGACAGCCTCCTGTCTGACCACACAAACCTAACAATATCTGATAAGCCTACACATCAAAAAAACACTACACAACAGTGGCAGAAGGGGGTTGTTGTTTTTTTAATAAAATGGCAGCAAGCCCCAGGATGCTCCTTGCCAAATTTCATACTTGTATGACTATTTATGCCATCATAGCGACCTAATATTTGCATTTACATCTTTTGCCAGAAACTTGTCCCCAAAAAGGGGTTTTGGGGCCCCTGGGACCAAGCGGCCCTGAGCTGGGGGTCCTTGATATTAGCTTGTGATGGCCCAAGGTTCAGGCTATCAGGAAATAATAATGAAAAAACGGAGCAGCAAACACCACGACGGCTGGACCTGGCTCCCAGACTACTGGAGTTGAAAAAAGCCTTGTTTTTTCATTATAGTCATGCACGCAGGAACACAGGATTTAACGCTGTTGTTTTTCTTACAGGATGTGGCGAATGTAAACTGTTTATTTTGGGGGGAAAAATTTAAATGACATGTAGAATTAAGTGATTTTGATGAAATATCACTACTTTAAGCTTGGCGGTTTTATATCCTGTTGGAAGCTTCATCGTGCATGATGTGTTCAAGGGCCATTGGGGATTTGAAAACCTGATGATAATTTCTGTTTTCACAGTTTCTGGCTTTGATAAATGGTGTAATTTTGGTGATTTTAAAAGAAAACATGCCTTTAAAACCAGCCAGCAGGATTTGGGGTTTAGTATTTGAAATAAATACAACCATTTAAAGTTGCATGTCTCTCCTCCACGCCAAAATTATACCACAGTCCCTCCTCAGTGCTCGAAAAATTATTTGACATGCCTCCCCCATTTTGCACCACCCCCACCACTCTTAAAAACAACCAACACTCCCTTACATATTACATATTTCCTTTATTTTGTTCAGTGACTTCCAAGCTCCAATTCATGTTCGTGGTCCATGAAACAAGTTGAAAACAAAACCTTGAATTTTGGAAAATACGAGACCATCCCAGTTCCCGAAAGCTCCTTATTTTTGTTCCAAGGTTTCCAGTGATTGCTTTCTCCATAAACAATCCACGGAACTCCCTCTGTTTGGTCTGGATTAAGGCTGCAGCCCTTTATCAACTTTCATAACAATTCCTCTGTTGATTTTAGTTACCTTGTATTCAGTTATGAGTATATTATTCCAGTCCTTTCTCAGCCTCAGCTTTGAAAACTCCAAACAGCTCACAGAACTTTAAACCTGCTCTTTCATTTAGTTCATCAGACCAGTCGATCTGTCAACACGTGCAGTTATTAATTCACGCATTCATCACTTTTTGGCCATCTCACCTGCAGGAGGAGGTGATGTGGGATACGGGGAGTTTATTGAAAGTATAACACGTTTGTCTATGTGTGCACATGTGTGTTTTCCCTCACAGAAAATGTGTTTTTGCTGGAAAGCGATCAGCCCAAGGGCCTGTTGGTATTTGGAGTCTTCACATCCACAAGGTAAGGCCAGTGGCGGTGAAGCCAACTGTAACATTCCTGCAGGCCTCAGTGGTTATGTTAATCACCGGCTGGATAGCAGCGGGGAGGGGGGACGTGCTCGTTAAAGAGCCAGTTACATTGAGACGTCATGTGTCGTGTTGCAGAACAGCTTAGTCAGATGATGAACTATCAGTTACAGCGTCCTGGTGGCTTCACCATATGTCCTGCGTTTTCATGTTCTTTCCTTATGATCGCAAGCAGCAGTGTGTATTTAGATGACTGAGTGCAGGAGATACATCCATAGTATACACTGATATAGACTGTGTATCACATGACATGGCGGACGGAGTATTAGTACACAGCTGGATTTTTGATCACAGAGAGAATTTCATTATTGCATTTTTCAGATAGGTGAAACTGAAGCCTTGTTTGTCAGGTTTTAGGGAAAACAGGAAGGAAAAAAGATCCCAAAAATGTGGGAAGAGCGCCAGTTCCAGTAAAAGTAACAGAGAAACACAAAGAACATAGAAAGGTAGAGGGAAAAGTCTTACCAAAATGAAACAAGGTTATGTTAAACCTTAATTGCTGTCTCTGTCAAGCAGCTGTCCATTAGTCACTCACTCTACAGTAGGAAACAGTACTCCAAAATAAAAGCTCTGTGCTGGGAATTCACTGTACTCTAATGCCAGGTTCACACTACACGGTATCAGCCTGATTTTAGCCCGATGCAGCGTCGTACCTTGTCGGCTCTGATCATGAACAGCAATGAGCGTTGGGCGCAATAATACATTGTTTCATCTCGTGTAATGTGTCATAGTAGACGACAACAGAGGCCACGTCTGGGACTCCTCACAACTTCCTGACAGAAAGTCTAGCATGTTTGATTTTCTTTTTGTCGATTTCTCCTGTCACAGCCGTCTCTTTGACCAATAGGAACACAGAACGATCTGCTGCCGTCGACAACTGTATGGCAACAACACCCCAGGGTTATAGATATTTTTTCTACGGATGTTAAAACACAGAATAAAATGATGGTGTGAAAAAGCAGAGGCACTTTAGCAACCCACTGAGTACCGCCATTAGCATCAAGCTAGCAAACAATGTTACTTCTTCATAATGGAGGTAGGGCTGCAACTAAGGATTATTTTCATTGTCGACTAATCTGTCGATTATTTCTCCCATCAGTCGACTAATCATTTTATCGAAAAATGTGTTAAAATGTTGAAAATTGTCGGTCTGTCTCTCCCTAACCCCAAAATTATGTCATCTAATGTCTTGTTTCGTACTCACTCCAAAGGGTTTTAGTTCACCGTCATGGGAGAGTGTGTAAAGCTGCCAATATCTGAATGTAAGAAGCTGCAATAAGAGTAATTTGGGTACTTTATAGTACTTTTCTATGAAAAAAGACTCAAACCAATTAGTCGACTACTAAAATAGTCACCGATTATTTGGATAGTCGATTAGTTGACTAATCATTGCAGCCCTAAATGGAGGACATAAAGTAAGAAAATTTTAAAATAGCGGCTTTTACTTACCACTTATTATATTTATTCCACTTATTCCATTATATTATTATAATATTATTATTAACTTACCACAACATTAGTTTTTATCTGCTCCTGTTTGCCTTGATAAACTTCATGCATCCCGCCATCATTTCAAACTCAACACTTCCTGTATCTATTTCAAATTAAAAGCCCCTTATAACTTCGGTTGAGAGAATCCATTCATTTTCTAAACAGGCTTTTATTGTGAAACATTTGCAGGAACTTGTCGTGGAGGATTCAGTGACTTGTACTTCAAATGTTGCTCCTGCCATCTAGTGGCGCTTTTTACGTTACTACAGTAACATTAAATAATAGTGATAAGACAAGACGGGACAAGAACAACCCGATGACATCACTCACGTTGTGAAAGACGACCAGGGATGATTGATCGTGGACCAACGCGTAGTGTGTCATGTCTGTCGGCCAAGTCACGGCACGATTTTATGACCCCACAATCACCTACTCTAACATAGTGACTGTCGAAACGAACTAAAATGTCTTGTCCCACCAGTTTTCCATTTTTTTTCCATTTTTTGTTTGTTTACTTACTGTGTTTTTTCTCAGCATTAAATGTTCCCTTTCCAATTGGTCGTTGTTCCTGCTAACTCTTATAATGTGAGAACCATGTTTTTCTAGATATATGGTTTTCCTTTTAAAGCGAAGAAATTATATCATATGCTGCATCAGTAAATCTGAGCACAACGTCGACTTTCTGCTTCTATTAAAATGACGATGAACAACATTTAAACATCATGATCTTTGACAAGAAATTAAGGGACGAACAGTTTATCACATACCATCTAAACCTCTGTGGTAACTGAAGGAAACCACACTAAACAAACTGATTAAACTTCTCTCATTCAGCTGAAGGTCAAAGTCCGCAGGGTGTCATGGTAAATTTGGCGGTTTTAAAGGAACGGTCACTTGATCCATGCGCTCTGAGCTCTAATTGAGTTCGTCTGGTTAGCCCAGGATGACACTGCCACAGGCCTTCAGTTCACTTGTTACCTAAGGATCATAGAAAGGTTACAGTAGAGGAACCTGGCTCAGAGAACACAGCCAAACCAAACAGTGAGGTCCTTTAGGTCTCTCACCTCAATGTTATTTTTTTCTCCACACTGTGATTCTTCCTCTGTCTCCACTTTGCACAAAATGCTTCTGCTCCCCTTTTCAACAAAGACTCTTTTATGTGTTAAGCAATGTGGTTTTAAATGACTTAGCCAAGAAACAAGTGAGCTGTCCCCACTGGAGAGTGGCGCTGATTCAGATCCCAGACTGTATAACATCCTCAGAAACAGTCCTTGAATAACAACTGCAGAATATTTTAGCAGGGTGGGTCTGGAGGTTGTGAGTGCAGTAGGTTCCTACTGTTGTGCTTGATACAAAGTTATGCATCTCATTTCCTCAGCTCCGTGTTTAAAGGCTCGGCGGTGTGTGTGTACAACATGGCCGACATCCTCACAGTCTTCAACGGGCCCTTCGCTCACAGAGAGGGGCCCAACTTTCAGTGGGTGGCATTCCAGGGACGCATCCCATACCCAAGGCCCGGAACTGTGAGTTCATTTCTAGCCCATTCACTGGTTAAGAAATAAATGGACTGGATTTTGTCAGTGATGACCATGACATTCTTTTTAACACTTTTTGTTCCACCAGTGTCCCGGTGGAGCCTTCACACCTGACATCCATACGACAAAGGAGTTCCCAGATGATGTGGTGACCTTCGTACGGAACCACCCGGTCATGTTCAACCCCATCTACCCAGTGGGGAGGAGACCTCTGGTGGTTCGGACCAACGCTGACTACAAATACACATCGGTGGCAGTGGACCAGGTTTTGGCTGCCGACGGAAACTACCAAGTGTTGTTCCTGGGCACAGGTATGACTGTTGACAGAATGTGTATCTTCTATCAAAGTACAGCCAGTTTTGAGGGTTTTTTAAGCCTGCTATGAACAACAGCCTGTGTTTTACACTGCTTGTTAAGGTCACAATAAAAAATGCTGTCATAGAGCAAGCTCACGTATATCCTCCAAAATTTAAAAAGCAAAAAAATTACATTTTTTGCAGGTATTGTGAAAATAAATGCCATTTTTCATCGTGTTCGATTTTTTAAAAATGAGAGTCAAATTGTAAAAAGGAGTCACTCTTTTAGTGTCAAGGTCATTTTACTTTTTCAACACCCAAAGTCAGATTTTTTTGTTTCTCCAGAAAAAATAATAAGACTATTAATTGAAGTCTTACTTTTGACGTGAGCATCAAAACCCGACCGGTACTGCATTTTTTAGGCTGATATCGATGTCAGAATTTAAAGGTGTAAAAAATCTGATAATGACACACCAACTAATATTTTTTATGCCTCTGCACCAGCAACAGCTTTGACCGGAGGCATTATGTTTTCAGGTTGTATGTCCTTCCATTCCATTCTTGTGAACGTGATATTTCAGGAACGCATTGAGGAAATGTCTTCAATTTTGGCACAAACATCCACTTGGACTCCACACTGAACTGACTGATTTTGGTGGTCAAATTTTAAATGTCAAGGTCACTGTGATCTTGCGTCTGCTCCACCCTCTTGAACATGATAGCTCAGAAACACCTTAAGGGAATTTCTTCAAATTTGGCACAAACATCACAAATAGAGTAAAATTTGATGGTCAAGGGTCAAGGTCACTGTGACCTCACAAAACCCTTTTTTGGCCATAACTAAAGAATTCATACACCAATTATGACAGAATTTGGCACAAATGTGTGACAGAATATACTGATGACATTTTATATCCAAAAGGTCAACTTCACTGTGACATCATAATGTTATGCAAAAACACTTTTCTGGCCATTATTCAATGTCATATCTCAGGAACAGAAGGGGAGACATTTGGTCAGACACTGAATTGGTGACACTAATCTTGGGGTCCATCTTGAAACTGTGCTGATTTTATAGATTGTCTGTGCTGCCAGGTTGAAGATGTGTGTGAAGCATCTACATTTCGCCAAAAATACATTTAACACCTTCTATTGAATTCCTTCAAAGTCTTCACCACATATATTATATGAGTCTGGGGAGACATTTATGTATGAGAGGCACACAGCTGTGATAAGGATGCCTTAAAATAGCTTTAAAGAACTGTGACCAAAATATGTTCTAAGCAGGATATCTATAAAGCTATAAACAACTATAAAGCAAGGAACCTGTCTTTCTGTCTTTCTATGTGTTCTTTGCATATCTCCAGAATTCCTCATCCAATCTACTTCACATGTGGTGGGTGTATTGCTGGGGACCTAAGGATGCACCTTGAGTAGATCTGTGGTGTTTTCTTTGCCATATAAACTTATAACCAGGGAGGAACGGAGGCCGGTACAGTCCACTACTCTTTACTGCTAAAAGATTTGGTGCCAGTGCGCAGTACCGAGAAGAGGGTAAAGAAAGAGAAGAGGGATCTGACGAAACCTGTTTGTTAAAGTTGGAAAGAGAAGGTCTGAGCTTGGTTCACTTCAGAGGGGTCTGAGTTCTCTTGGAGTGTTCACATATGCGCAAAAAAAATACAGTTAAATACAGTTTTTCTGCTGCACTTTCTTCAGCTGATATATACACCTGCACAGATGCATCTGTCATGAGCTCATACAGGCTCGTAGGATTTATTAATCTAGCTCTAATGAGCGTGTCACCGAGCAGTCACAGTCGCCTTAATCCTGTAACCAGACAGGTTGAAGAAGTCAGTGAGGTATTTTATGAGTAAATGATTGTTGAGCGGAATCCTTTTGCCACAGCTGGTCATCAGATAGACAGATAACAGAGGGGATAGTACACTGTGGGCGTGGTGGCACATTTGAAAACACAGACAGCGTGATATAGCATGTAGCTTACATTATGTCACAATTAGGCCATAAACAGGGCAATAAGACAAGGTCCTTAAGATAGGATCTCATTTTATTGAATCAGGTGAGAGAGCCTGCAGGTCTTTACCCTGTTTGTTTTAATCAAATGTCAGCCTTGATGTTAGAGCTTGTGTTTTTAAAACTTCCTAAAACTATTAAAAGTGTTTTATCTCGCCTCACAGGCAGGAAGTATATAGAATTATACCTCTTGTTTCGGTGCTCACAGTGTGGTGGTTAAATACAGTAGAATAACATGTGAACACGTGCATCTCCACTCGTGCACAAGCATGTATTTGCATACTCCTTTTCTCTCTCTCTCACAGCTGCTTGTGTTTATCAGACAGTCTCTCCATTCTGTTTCTCCTGCCTGGATCTCTTGAAAAAAAAAAAAAAAAACCCAGTGCTGTCCAACAATATCTGAGCCCCCCGAAATGCTGCTTTGTCTGAGGGAGACGCTCTTATCACGCATTTCCAGGAGCTGTTACTGTCCTCCCTCACTCCGCTGCTCCAGCTCCCAGGACCAAACAGCTGTATTGATGATGCTTGTGTTGCATGTTGCCCTTTCCGTGGCCCTTCTCCGCCCCTGCGCGGGCTTAAGAGCTTCCATTCCCACTCCTGCCACAGTTGATTCTGCTGTGAAAACCAGCTATCGTGCCTAATTCAAAAGCAAACATGGGCAAAGGAAAACAGAGCAGGAGTTTATTTTTTTCCCCCAGCAGTTGTATTGTAGTTTCTCTGTCTGGGCAGTCTTTATTGAGTGTGTGTATCTGTTTCACACGGTTGTTTTATGTGTGGTTACAGCTCATGACATGTCTGCTCTCTGCCCCCCAGACAAAGGTACAGTACAGAAGGTAATTGTGCTGCCAAGCAATCAATCCCTGCATGAAGATCTGATCCTGGAGGAGCTGGAAGTGTTTAAGGTCAGCTGTCTGTTTTTCTCTCCTTTCTTCTTTCATTCCACTCTCACTTTCATCCCTTTTCTTTCCCACAAATCAGGTGGTGGGGGTAGCGGGGCGGGGGTGCACTTGGCCACAACACAAAGGCCAAGGGCAGACAGACAGAGGCATGGTGGTACACAGGAGATAGATGTTCTGCAGCGTAGTGCAGCGCAGAGTGATGGGAAACATGCTAACATACCGCAAGGGTCTGGTTGTTGCCCCCAGTGAACCATCACACATGTTGCTTTATCGTAGCTCAGAGCGCTAAACGTGTGATCAACCTGTGATCGGACGTAAAGGCCACAGCTCCTTTGATCTTTCACTGCACCTGAACTATAGCTGTGCTTCATTTAGGGGAGATTTATTCTCAGTTGAACGTATATATTTCCTTTATAAAGATACATCTGGTGAGAAGCTGATCCTGGATGGGTACGGTCTCTGCTGTGGCTGTTTTAAATTGTCATTAAAGGAATACTTCACCCTCCAAATGACCAATTGTGTATCAGTTCCTCACCCCATGTTACGATGAATTAGTGAAGAAAACTTTGTTTTTCTTGCATGCCTCCACTGTGAGCGAAGAATCCAAAAACTGAGAAAATCCTCAATGAATTGAAGTCATAGGGGTCCATGTTTAACAACATCAAAACTATGGCTCTGTCTACACATATACAGATGTTTTGAAGAAAGGATATTTTCCTCCACGTTGTGACCTCCCTTTCAGAGTTTTAGTTCACTAAAACAGAGTGGAGCAGTGTGTAGGATTTCGTGGAATCTAGAGGATTGTAGATTGCCACAAGCTTAAGGGCCCATCCCAATACCCCCCCCCTTGGCCCTACCCCTAGATTTGTGCATTCCCGCGAGGGGTAGGGGTGTCCCAATTCCTTTTTGCGTGTAGGGGTAGGGGGCATAACGAGGGGTAGTGGGTATGAAACTAGCCCTTTGGAGCGAGGGATTTCAGATGCTGACTTGCCAGCGAGGGGTAGACGTCGCCATGGCTACCACCGAGCAAGAGACAGGGAAAAAAGTTGTTATTGCTTTTCACTATGTCTAGATTGGAGTTGACAGAAAGCTAGCCAGCTAGCTAACGTTACCGTCGTCATGTTGCTTGTTCGCTAGCTAGCTAGCTCGCACTATCTGGCGTCTGTCATCTGTCCTGTTCTGCAAAATTGTCAGCTTTTTCACATTATGATAACACGCCAGCTAGTATAACTATGCTGCCTCGTAATGTTAGCTGGTTAGTCCCCTGTCGTACATATCATTTCGTCGTCTGTCCTTCATCAAACAAAGCATGATGAATACAGCAAATGCGATCGGTAGGATTAACTCAACCGGAGACTCCATTGTAGATGCCAGTTGGAAATGTAGATGGCTCACGGCTTCCTGTTTAAAATAGTTACATATGCGTGAACGTAACCGACGCAGTGACGTAGTGAGTGGTGTCCCAATTCCTAGGGAAAGATTTCAACCCCTACCCCTTGTTCATTTTGAGGGCTAAGGGGTAGTGGACAAGGGGGGGTATTGGGATTGGGCCTAAACTTCTCCCAGTAAACTCCCAATTAGGATACCCGTAGAGGGTTTTGTTTTTACAGGAGCTGAATCTTTACAGAGGCCCCTTGGTCTCCAAAACAAACGGTCCCACTGATTTAAACTTATATAAAACTGAATAAAACAATTTCACATTAAAAATCTGTTGTTTTTTTTTAGAGGGACTGCTGATGACAGTGGCCGACGTGAAAATGCGAAATTGCGTTTTGCTAGCACTGCTTGGTCTAATGACTGCTTTACACTTAAACTTAGTATTACTGCACCATTTCACAGACGCACAGAGACATCTGCTGGGGCCACTGTTTTTTGTTCCACCTCAGTGTCCTCGGTTTAAAGTCAGCCAAAAACAGTGATTTCGGATTGGGCTAGTCAAATTAGTGGACAATTTTGACAAGAGGGATTGTTGTCGATGAGGAGTGAAAGAAAACTTATGCATGACCAGAGCATGCCTCATACCTTTGTGTGTGCTCTTTTGTCCTCATATCAAAGGGGACTCAACAGTGATAAGATCTCCACTAGGTGTTTTGAAAATGTTAATGTTAGCCTGTACACCTTATTACCTTTGAGACGAGTGGAGAGCATTTTCATCTTCTAGTGTGGATGGAGATGATTTGTAAAACAAAAGTCATGTGGACAATTTTTTTTTTAAAACAGAGGGGAAAATATATCAAAAACATCTGTAAACATAAACTGAAGAATGTTGGACTGTAATAACTGATTCTTAGGATGGACATTCGCCCGGCATATAGGTCAGAATGCATTTGTCAGGACTCCAGTATTCATTCACTGCACTTTATCGACTGAAATTGAAGGCACCGCAATGCACAAGGCACTTATCCACAATAGGGAACTTAGACTAGATTTGCGAACGTGTAGTTTTTATCACGGACGCTCTTGAATACAAATTATTTCTGGGCCTTTTTTTTTTTGTTTTTGTTTTACCACTGCCGAGATCGGTTGTTTGTTTGTGTCATTGGACTAACATAAACTCACGAACTGTGAGGCAGTGGTAGACCAGCAGCTCCTGTATTCAATGAGATAAAATACTGTTTTTGTCAATGGAGTCTGGCTTTATTGATAGTATGGATAAGTTTCCTTTTAGTTCAGTTCCCTGTCAGAAAGGCCTGTCTGTTTGGGAAGTACTGAGCATACGACTGGATAAACAAGACTTGGATTATACTGCACAAGCTGTAAGTTTATTAAACGTGGACCCCTATGACTTCAATTCATCAAGAATTTTCTCCTTTTTTGGATTCTTCGTTCACCGTAGAGGGATGCGAGAAAAACAAAGTTCTCCTCACTAAGTTTACGTAACACAGGGTGAGTAACTGATATACAAATGGTCATTTGGGGAGTGAAGTATTCCTTTAAAAAGTTGTTCCCTTCCTTTTCCCCCAACATGTTCCCACCTATTCCTCTAAGATTTTGATAGAAGTAACTGTCAACAACGTCTAAAAGCTCTGAACTTTGCTCTTGTGTGTGTTATTTTTCAGAATCAAGCTCCTGTTACAAACTTGAGAATATCCTCAAAGAAAGTAAGTGTCCCTCCAACTCTGCTGACCTCACACATTAAGTGCCGTTTTATTGTTTTAATATGTTATTCATTGTCTGTGGCTACTATGTAATGCTCAAAACACAACTCTCCAGTGTGTAATAAGCCTCCCAAAGGCAGGGAAATAATGAGCCATAATTGTTTCGGCGCTCTGCCTCATTTTCCTGTCAGCCGGCCACTTATTAAGACAAACAGGGCGGCTGACATTTGAACTGTTTACTTTGCAGCAACAGCTGTACGTCAGCTCCGAGTTCGGGGTCTCGCAGGTCTCCCTGCACCGTTGCCACGCTTACGGCTCGGCTTGCGCTGACTGCTGCCTCGCCAGAGACCCCTACTGCGCCTGGGACGGACTCAGCTGCTCCCGCTTCTACCCCACCAGCAAAAGGTACACAGAGGTTTACAGTTTAAGGGGTCATTACTGCGGTTTGGTGCCGGTGTTCGGTAACTTTTAAATGTTCTGCAAAGACGTTTAAGTGTCCATTAAGGATTGATCCCTCAGCAGTGTAGTGCTGACAGGTGTTGATTAGGGAGCCCATTCATGGGGGCAGCCATTCAAAACGTTCACAAGAGTTAAATAAACAACAGCATAGTGCAGATTTTTCAATAGCATTCAATATTTCTGTTCACTTGCCATGAGAATCTCGTGAGGATTTGGGCCTCCAACACACAACAAAAGCAGCATCCATCAGTTACATAACAAATATGAAATTAATCAATGTACCACATCAAGTTGTCCTGAATGTGGGCACCAGATGATGTACAACAACATGTTAAACAAGACCAGAAAAGAGCTGGTCGCAACCTGTGAGGGCACAAAGATCACATGGCTGGTATCCCTCAGCACACACTTCAGTGTAAGTATGTCACTAATTCTGCTTTTGTTGTTTCCCTCCGTCCGTCTAGACATAACACAGACAAGGTGGTATAAGCGACCTCACCTCTGAGCCCGACACTTCTCCGGTCTCTTGAAGGACTGGCTGCGTGTCTCTTGACATTCCAGCCGGCCGCAGGTCAAGTTTAGTTTGGTCGCAGAACAAAAGTGCAGCCCTCATGTTCCTGCGGAAAATGTGTGTGAAATGTGTCAACTGTTTACACGCTCTTTTCCTCAAGCTGTTACATATGAGTGTGCACCGCCGAGTGGAATAACAGTCAGATTTTCCTCATTGTTTTGGCACTGTCGGCTCCCTCCACAGCTTTAATATGGGATGAATATATGGGTAAGAATGTTGTCTATTTGTTCTGTATTTAGCTGCAGTGTATTTATACTCAACGCTGTTTCTTCTTGTTTTAGGAGGAGCAGACGGCAGGACATTATGCACGGAAATCCGCTCACTCAGTGCCGAGGATTCAATCTAAAAGGTATTTCAAGCTGCTCGAATCAATACTTTTATTTTAGGGAAGCATCAAATGGCTGGGTTTGATGTGAAAGGTGTCGCTTGAAGGGACACCGAGAATTTTACCACAGCTCTACAGAGCTTAGCCTCTTGTAGCTATTTGTTTAGATTTTATGGCCCACAAATTACGCCGTCATCAACCTCACTACAGCAGGTGGCAAAGCTCTGATAAACCCCACTGTATGCTGCATGCCCAGCACCAGACAGCAGACGAAATTAGGAAGAAGCTGGCGAGGGAAAGCGGCAAGCAGCTATAAATCTAGATATGTTTCTCAGGAGGTCGTAGGAACCAAAATAGAGTGAAAATGAAAGTGAATACTCAACTTACGTTCATCAGGTGGTCAGAAACACAACTCCAAATGAATGCTAATGTTGCTACGTGTCAGCAGGATGTGTAAATAGGTCACTGGTTGGTAACGTATTAGCCTTAACAAATTTATAAGGTGATAATATGTCAGTGTTGCGTTTTCTCGTCACATACCGACGTAGGTCATGGACTTTCAACGTCCAGATATGATGTGCAAGGTACCCTGGGTGTGTTGGTTGTTGACACTCTGGGACGCCGTGTCAAGTTCTGCCTGTTACATGCATTGTCTTCTTTCAAAATGCACTTCTGTTTTCACAGGAAATTTACCGTTTATATTCAGTTTCTTTCAAACTGAATGCACTACGTCGGTAAAAACAACACCAGTTGACGTTTTTTTGCCTTCAACAACAGCAGCACATGATTGGGTTTTGGAAAAAAGAACAGGGTTTGGCTTTATAATCTTATGGGAGCTGAACACCCCTGTGGACTTTCGTGGACTTTCGTCACCTTAACCTTTGTTTGTGTCCCGCCGCGTTTCCCACCAATGCCGCCAAGCACCATTTAACTATAACAGCAACCGACCATGTATCATGCTAACGTTAAAGCACAGCTTTTTCGTGAGTGTCTGACGCCGCTAGTCACTGCCTAAGTGCCGGATTTCTACAACTTCGGAGTGAGACCTTGTTGCCCAAAGATCTCAGAAAGTCCGCGAGAATTTTGGTACACAAGTTGTTAAGTTGACATTACAGGAACATGGTGACGAAAATAAATGTTGGGTTAGTTCACATATTGCGCGTCAATTTTTTGCTCACATGTAATTTGTAATATGGTGTTCGGTTGTAGCGGTTAGTTGCTGTCCACGTAGAGTGACCGAGATTAGTTAGAAAAGTTATTTATCAGCATTAATCCCGACAACAAAGGTAAAGCAATATTTTCGTGTTTTTTTTTAGGGGATGCACTGGTGCGTCAACACGTCTAGGACGAAAATCACTATATAAAATATTAAAATTCACTGTTATTGTTGTGTCGTTTTAACGCTCTGAGCAATAAAATACATCACACCTTCTTTGTAGCATCCATGTTGTTTCCACGTTATGACTCAAAGCTCATGAACAGCTCAGAAGAATGACTTCCCAACTCTGGAAATCATCTAGAAACCACCCAAGGAGCATGTAAATGCAGCACATGTGTTTCACACAATGGCAAAACTGTCAATACAATCAATATAAAATGATTGTAGTTGTTTACACCAAAGCTGTAGCTGCATCTTCTGTGTATTTTTGTGTTTTAACGTACCCATCCAGAGGTCTCTGAGTCCAGGTACCAACAACATCCATCACCAAAGCTCACCCAGCAACACTGGCAGGGTGCGGTTTAATGAGCGGAGAAGATTTGCTCCCCAGAGTGTCCCATTTCCTCCAACAGTTTACATCTCTAAATTAAAACGAGCTTGGGGAACAAACCATATGGCCATTACCACTAATTGGTCACAGCCCTGTCACACATCCAGCTGAGTGACGAACCATTTAGCTGCGACAGAAACAACGCAGCAAATGAGACGAGACGGAGTTGCTCCGGTGCATCGACGGTTATTTTGTCAGTCTGCGGAACCCGGAGAAGTCTGGGTGGAGTTTGGTGGTGCTGCAGGTGTCGGACTAAGCTCTGTGTCAACATTTCCCTCTCGCAGTGGGGACTTGAGACAGATTTGAGGCCATCTGTGGGGTTTGTGTCTGTCAGCGAGTGACGTCTGAAGTGACTCCCTTGACTCTGTGTGTGTTTGTGTGTGCATGTGTGTGTGTGTTAGCCTACAGGAACGCAGTGGAGATGACACAGTACGGCGTCAAGAACAACACCACCTTCCTGGAGTGTCTTCCCAAGTCTCCTCAGGCGTCTATTCGCTGGCTCATTCACAGAGACAATGACAGGAGGAAAGAGGTCAGTTTGACATTTAGAGAGGTCAAAGGTCGACATCACAGCCCGTATCTAACAAGCTGACATGGCACAACAAAAACCCCTTCAAGATAAAATGTGCTTTTCATGTTTTGGCTACGTCGTTGAAATATTACATCAAACATTTAACATGTCATGGCGATCAAATGAGCTCACACGCTTGATCAGGACTTGTTACGCCTGAGGAATGACACAGAGAACATGGAGCGTCATACAGATCAAACATCCTATAGGCCCAGACTAATGACTGGGATCTCAGCGGGGGAAATGCTTTACAAATATTTGACGAGATTAGATAAAGCTTGGCCCGAGTGCGCCTGCATGAAAAACCCTTTATGGATGGAGCTCTCACCTCAGTGGAGTAGATTCAGAGTAATGGCTGTTTTATAGCGTCTCCCCGTGAGAATAGAAGTTGGCCCTTTAAATAAATCACTTTAGTTTTATGGTGTGTAATGATCAGAGTCTTTTCCAAATTAAGGCCAGGCTGATTTTAAAGTGAGAAAGGATGAAGCTGTTGGATTTAGAGTGTCGCCATCGATTTATTTTTAAACTGAAGGCACATTTAAAACTTTCAGCACCTCCACTGTGACGTCCATTTCAACTCCTTTTTACACTTCTTTTCGCTGCATATCTTCAGCAGCAGCCACATTTGAAATGTCTTCAGAAGATGTATCTGTCCTAGTGAAGCATATGTATTAGTAACCTGACACGCCAGATGGTTTGTTAACACATGACCATCTGAGAAGCTGTCGTTGGAATCTGTTTGGAAAAGGACTGGCACTTTCAAAAATATTTGGCAGGTGATTGGATGAACCATCTGTCCGTCACCGTGTATCATGGACCATGGATCTATAGAGGAGCTGGATGCAGTGTAAAAAGCAGGACCCATTTCACCCCTATGGACGCTCAGTGGTGTATGAAGCCAAACATTCAACTGACACATATAAGATAACGATGGCAAAGTACACTTCCGTTATGGTGGCGCCGTCCTTGGCTGAGGCCTCACTGGCTCTTGGAGAGAATGGACATTTAACTTTTGCAATAGCACTTTTGCTGCTGATGTTTATCCATGTTTTATTCAGAGAGTCAAACGCAGCAAAATTTCTATCTACCTACCTACCGACCAACCAACCAACCAAGCTACCGACCGATCTACCTACCTACCGACCAACCAACCAAGCTACCGACCGACCTACCTACCTACCTACCAAGCGACCGACCGACCGACCGACCTACCTACCAACCTACCTACCTACCGACCGACTGACCAACCAACCAACCTACCGACCTACCTACCTACCTACCTACCGACCAACCAACCAACCTACCTACCTAGCTACCTACCAACCTACCTACCGACCGACCGACTGACCAACCAAGCTACCTACCTACCTACCTAACTACCTATCTATCTATGGCTGGCCGAGCTGGTTACTTCCAGTTTAGCACTCCATTAATTTGAATGGGGATAAAATTATTTTATCTTGCAGCTCATCTAGACTTTGAAAATTTTGTCATACTAAATGGATCCACCATGTATCCATATTTTTCGCCTATGGGAAAAGTTTTGTGGGCTTTCAGTGCCGTTCTTTCAGCGTACTCTCCAGTTCTGATACAACTCCTAACTTCTTTAGGAGCAGCCATTGTTGTTAGAAACACTGGCCACACACATCTAAACCATAACCGTAGCTGTCAGTAGCTCCGCATACACGAACGCATTACTTGAACCCTGACGAGATGGATTTTCATGTACATGCACACCCTGGACAGGTTGCCAGACTATCACAGGGCTGACACATAGAGACAGACAAAATCTCTCATAGATGCAATAATAGGCTGACGTCTGCTTGTCTCAAAAGTTAGAATAAACCTTGAAAGAGTGTCAGAATGGTCTGAAGTCTGAGGTTTTTGCTCACAATGATTACTTATACATATGTTTACCTCATCATTTGAAACTTTGGCCACGTTTAATATGAACATGCATCATTGTAACATTATATATATGACAGAAAATAAGGAAAAGCATGATAGATCCCTTTTAAGTGACTCCATTAATCTTCAGTTAGTATTTGTCAGGTTTCCCTGTCAGTATCGTTCAGGTACTGCTTTGATTTGGAGCTTTTCCAATTTTGTGCTACAAACCATGTGGACGGGGTTATGGCACTAACTAACTGTGTCAACCACAGGTGAAGCTGAGTGACCGCGTCCTCTCCACGGAGCACGGCCTCCTCATCCGCTCCGTCCAGCTGTCCGACCAGGGCCTCTACTATTGCCTGACCACGGAGAACAGCTTCAAGCGCACCGTCGCCAAGATCCGCCTGCAAGTGCTGAGCGAGGCCATGGTGAGCGTGCTGACAGACAAACAGCAGTCGCCGTGGGCCTGGGCCAGCTCGTTGCACCCGAAGACCCTCCTGGCAGCCTTCAGTCCGGCGGAGAGCTTGGCCGTGCAGCAGTACTGCAAAGAGAGGAAGGAGATGCAGAACCTCCAGCAGAGGCAGCAGCCGCCTCAGCCGCCAGGGCCTCTCAGGGGGGACCTCGCCAAACTGAAGCCCCTGCTGGACCGGAGGAAGATCCGCAACCGGCGCAATCACCTCCCAGAGGTCTGACACAGGGGAGGTGCAGACACTGACACGAAAACCTTCCTCTGTTTCTATCCCCTCATTATCCAACTCTCATCTCAAACTGCAGAGCTGCACTGTGGATGTACAGTAAAACGAGGAGGTGGGTGCAGGGAGTTGTTATTCGGCAATATCTCTTTTTCTTGCATGAGGTTCTGTGACCAGATGGCTGTGACACACACTAGTACACACGCACAGGCACCCAGGAGCAATTTATTTGCTGTTGCAGTCACAACCCAAACTGAAGTGGCCCTGTTATGAGTGCCACTAATAAACTGCAGTTGGTATTGCTTATGAAAATACACCCTGAGACGCAGCTACGGTCGATGATCGTATCATATTTTAGATATTAGAGGAGAAATTGGACCGGCCAGATATTAGCTCACAATGGATTTGTTCACAAACAGAGGAAGTAATTTGAAATCACAATAGTAAATAGGGGAGATTGAAAAGGGACAAAAGGGAGATTGATGCATGCTTGAGAGTGAGCGCCCTCTCAAAGTATAATATCAGTATTTTATTAGATTCTACTCACATTTCTGTATTTACTTTGAACTAACAAAGTTGTCTCTGCTCTGTGAAATGACTGAAAGTGGTTCGCGGGCACATGTAGGGTAATAAAAAGTCAATTTATGAGAGAAATATGCTTTATTTTCTCATGGGTTGACTGCCTCACGCACTATCTGCAATAGCACTGTTAATACAAAATGCCGATGATAAGTGGTACCAATAAAAAGTGTTTCATTACAGCGCTGTAAATTTAAAAGGATTTAGATCAAAGGCCGACTTAAAGGGGAAGTTTGATATTTTTCAACCTGGACTTTGTTTTCCCAAGTTGTTGTGTCGAAGTGAATTTTGGGTTCAACAAGTTTTGAAAGTGGTTCAGTATTGAGCGAGAGGGCTGCAGCTGCCAGCAACTAAAAAGGCTGTTATGTAACCAGTTGGGGCATTTGTGCACCTTCAGTTTATGTCTACTAACAGTGCTTGTTTTTGCTGCTGACAGGCTCAGATTGTTATAGTAAGTGTTTTACAGCTGATGGAAAGGATCCCTACGGAGATGGACCTTTTTTTTAAACCAGTAACAGTGCCACAATTGCCACCACCAAACCCACCAGACTCCATTTAAATAAACGGTAATTTTGTCATTGTTAAACACACTCCATTTAAAGTTGACAGAAAAATTCAGAACTCACAAAAACCATCTTGGTTTGTCTTTCAACTGTTCCAACAATCGCCAACTCTGGTTTGGTTGAAATTAACCCTTAATTCACCAAGTTAGATGTGAAAATATGCTGACTCTAAACACCCTTAAATTACTGCTTATTTAAATGGAGTCTGGTGGGTCCGGTGTTGACGAATTTTGGGGCTGTTTCTCGTTAAACAAAAAGGTCTATCTGTGGGGATTATTCAAAAATTTTATCGAACTCATTCGGGGAATCTATGCACCGTCAATTCATGTCCACGAAAAGTGTTCAGATTATTATTCTATGAAAAAGATCCCTACAGAGATAGACCTTTTTGTTAGAGTATGAGTTTGTTTAGCTACAAACAGCCCCAGAATCACCATCACTAAAGCCAGACACCATTTAAATAAAATTTTAGCTTAAATAGGGCCAGCGTAATTTCACATTTAACTGAATAAATTGAGGTTTTATTTCAAGACAAAGCAAGACGTCTGTTGTTAGTTTTATTTTGTTTCTGTTGACTCTTAAGTCCAGTTTCCACCAAACACTTTTGGTATGGTACCTTTGGAACCAAAAGTAACCCTTCAGACATGGTACCTAGACCCTGGTGTTTCCACCACAAACAGTACTCTTAAATGTGGGCAGGGTTGTTGTCACTCACTGGGGATGGTATGGAATGGTTCCATTGGCACCATCCACAACTTTTCACGGCGGAAATGGAAAATAAGCGTACCAGACCAAAATGAACCGTACTGTACAGCTCAGTGGAAACAGACTTCAATGAAGTCTGTTTCATTATAAGTCTGTTATCTGTTAAATTAGTGTTTAATAAAAAGGAGTCTGATGGGTTTGGCGATGACAATTTTGAGGCTGTTTCTCATTTAACAAAAAGGTCTATCTCTGTAGGGATCCTTTTTATAATGTCACCGGACACTTAAAATCACATTCTGAGCCTGTCAGTGGCAAAAACAAACACTTTTAGTGGACATAAATTCACGGTGATGACGCTGCAGCTGCAGCACTCTCGCTTCATAATGGACCAATTTCCAAAATTGTTGTTCCTATTAGTCACTCAGACAAAAAACTGAAAATAGGGTCCAGGTTGAAAATTTTAAAGTTACCCATTAACATCCAGTGCTGATTCTACCCAAACAGATTAACAGTAAAATACTGAGTAGAACATAAAATTCTTACACAGTCCCTCCTGTATTTATTCCTATTACTCAGACGTACACGTAAGAGAATCTGCCTCACTGTAATTCAGCTGCAGATTGTATCATACTTCTCTTGTTTCTTGCACAGAAGCATGTTTATAGAAATCCATCAGTAAAGTAGAAGCATCTTAATCCTTGCCTGGATTAGATTTAGCACATTTTAGTTTTACAGCATAGTTTACATCCCACGGTAGATGCTGAAACATGACAACATCCTTCTTTGGATCCACATTTTCCACATTGTCCACAGCGAAGTGGGCGCCTTTAATTCAGAAATAATAATTAATTGACATATGTGAATAGACTTTTGTTTCCTGAGACGTAGTTAATGTAGATAGAGGTTATTTGTTGCTTGTGTACAGAGTATGTTTTTGTTCCTTTCCTCCTTTTAATTTAATGTTGTGCAGGTGTTTTTGTGAACATGTGTATATAATTTCAACATATTTCACCAGCTATGACTGTATCTGCAAATTGCAGAGACATACAGTGTTATTTTCATTTTGAAAAAACAAAGACTTTCTAGCTGTACCTTCCCTCTAAACAGATCTCTGCTCCGCGTTTAATAAAGCTGTGTGACCGGCATCATGTCAACTTCAACTCAGTGTAATTTCGGTGTTATGAAACATATGTATTTCTATTTATTAATGTCATGATAGCCTAAATAAATCTGTGCAGATGAATCTCAAGTTTACAGAAGGAGCATGTATTTTATTGTCAGATATTTTTATTAGTATAATTTCTCAAAAGGTGATTTTCTTTTTTCTTTCTGTTACCGGCAGATACATCATCCCTCTGTTGACTTTATAGATGCCATGGAGGGGCTTGTCATGATTATGATGGCCAATATGATTTTGGGATATATTGTTATTTACTTTCTTGTTGGAGATTGATGAGAAGATCGATACCACTGTTTGTACAGTAAATATGAAGCTACAGTCACCAGCTGGTTAGCTTAGCTTAGCACAAAAAAAAGTAGTAAAATTTGACTTGACCCTGATCATCTCAGCTAACTCTTGACAAAAAAGTTAACAAGTATATCTCCCAAAATGTGGAACTATTCTGTAAACGATTATCACACGAAGAAACTTTGACAACATTGAAAGTGTATGGGTACACACTAACGTCAGAGGGTCCAGCTTTTGAAAAACATAAACTTGTGTCCTAAATTTTTAAGATTATTGCCCAGTGCCTGTAGAGAAGCCAATTTCCACCAGTGTGATGAAAAAAAAACAGATCTTGTCAGTCATTATAATGAGAAATTTTCTCAAAATGATAACTTACTTCTCTGAGAATAATGAGAAGCTCTCTTAAAAGAAGGACTCAGTTTCTGAAAATACAAAATATCTCAAAACAGCAGGTTTGTATCTCAAAATAATGACTTGCTAGAACAAAAATATGAAAAACTTTCTCAAAATAATGACTTAGTATCTCAAAATAATTCAAAAGAATGACTTAGTATCTCAAAATAATAAGAAACTTACTCAAAATAATGACTGGATTTCTCAAAATAATGAGTTTGTTAGGTTTGGTTACATCACTGACAATGTGTTCAGGTGCATCAAAAGATGTATTCAAGAACGCACAGTGTTACAAAATGAGAAACTTTGTCAAAATAATGAACCATTTCCCCCAAAAATATGAGTTAGTAACTCAAAATGAGAAAAGTCCTCAAAATATTGACGCAGAATCTCAAAATAATGAAAAAAAAACTTAGTTTCTCATTGTTTTGAGATAATTTCTCAAAAATAATGGCTTAGTATCTGAAATGTATTTTAAAAACAATGACAGTATCTCAAAATAATGAGAAAATTTCTCTAAATAATGACCTAGTATCTCAAAATAATGAAAAAAAAAAAGACTTAGTATCTCGAAATAATGAAAAACTTTCCAAAAAAATGACTAAGTGGTTAAAAGAATGAGACACTTTCTCAAAATAATGAGTTTATACAGTGACGGACTCAGGATGTTTGAAGGGCAGGGGCGAAAAGGAAAAAAGGGCACCTACTGCATGACATGGGGACAAGAGGGCAGCCAAAAGGGCACATCCGCTCTTTTTCATTCAATAGGGCACATCGTCTTGTTTTGATCATTCAAGAGGGCAGTCAAAAGGGCACATCAGCTCGTTTTTGTTAATCAAGAGGGCAGCTGATAGGGCACATCCTCTCATTTTCACCTCTCAAGAGGGCATTTTAGCACGGCTTTTTCAACCGAGGTGGCAACAGGGGGCGGCAGTCGCCCCCCCGACCCCACCCCCTGAGTCCATCAGTGAGTTTATATCTCTAAATAATTACAAAATTTCACAAAATAATAAGAAACTTTCTCAAAATAATGAGTTAGTACCTTTAAAAAAAAAAAAAAATAATATCTTAAGATAATGACAAACAATACTATCATTACTATCATTACTACTGTCATTATTTTGAGTTTCTCATTATGTCATTATTATCGCATTACTCTGAGATACTATTATTTTGAGATATTAAGTCATCATTTTCAGAAAGTTTCTCGTGCTTTTTCTTCCATCACACTGACAGAAATAGGCTCCCATATACCTGAGATACCCCGAGGTTGCAAATTCACCTCAAGAGGAGGCGTCTAATCCCAAATGAAACACTCCATTATACTGTAAGTGTGACATGTGAGATTCAGACCCAACAGTTGAATCAAAGACACCCAGGAGGCTGCACAGGGTCATTTAAAACCCATAAAACCAAGGAGAGGCCTCCTGCTGGGCAGAAACACTGCTTTCTCACCAAACAAACCCAAGTACCATTCAGAACCACCATATAATCATTCCTTGACTCATTTTTATGACTCTTTTTGATTTATGGACCACTCAAGGTAAAGAGGAAATCAAGTCATTTTGCTCCAGTGTGCATAATGTGGAGGTTTGTTGCAGCAGCTGGAACGTCTCGGCTGTATTTTAGGCCGAGGGGAATGTGGACCAAACGTGATAGACTGTTGCCGGGTAGGAAAGAGCCAACACTCAGAACCGAACACCCAGTGAGAAACTCGTTTTCAGCTTTTATTCATTTAGAAGAAACTAGTTCAGCAAAGGTTACGGACATTTGCGCAAGATTAGATTCATGTACATTTTTTTCATAGGACGTCAAACAGACCCATCTCTCCTCTGTGCGGATTAATAACCTGACTGTTAGTGGCGTCTCCATCCGCTCTCCCGTTAAAGATCCCTGATTGAATTAACGTTACAGTGTTTGCAATTGAAATAATACTTAACAAAGCTCTGGGAGCTTTGCATAAATCACAGTATTCCCCCCCGGTATCAAAGGAAGTATGACATTATAAATAACACTAAAATTACAAAAAAGTGCAAGTCTATATCAAAAGGTCTGATGTCCTGTAGCAGCTTAATGCACTGTGCCCTGCGACTCACACACAACAGACACTTCTGTGTGATTCATTCACACCAGCTTGCTTTGGTTATCGTTCCTCCTCACCACGCAGTAGGAGATGAGACACACAACGAAGATGCCCATGCCTGTGCCCATTAGTGTGTTCTGTATTATCTCCAACATCTGGATACGGGAGACTAGCTCCGTCTTAAACCTCTCTGCCGTTGGGTCGTCCACCACAGCCGTCTGGTTACATTTTGGAGACACAGAGAGAGAGAGTGACTGATTATTATGCATCCCGAGCTAACAGACTCCACACTTCATGACTGCAGGGCTGTGTTTTTTTATCTTACCTCATTCAGCCAAACAACAGGGAATATGGTATAATCCTTGACTTTCTTCAGCACCCTGCAGGGAGAGAGTTCATTACTTAGTATTCAGTGCATGATGATGTCTCAAAACAATTTTGCCTTTATTTGACAGTGACAGAAGAGACAGGAAATGCAGGAAGAGAAAGAGGAGGCGGATGACATGCAAACTCAAAGAAATAGCTTGACATTTGGGAAAAGCAAGATTCTGCGTCAAATTCACACCATAGGCGCGTATGCAGTATGTTCTATGTTGACACATAGCCTACACTGTAGCCTGGCGTGCACCTCCACAGAAATGTAACTACTGGTCATAGCCACGCAGACCTCCTGTCGGTTTCTGTAAGCTGAAACCATTTCCCTCAGTGGAAACAAAGTTTTTATTTACTTAAATTTCACAGATAAGAAACAATAAATTGTGAAGACGATAAAGCCTCCACAAAAATAGCATTTTAAGTCTTGTGTGTGATTTATCCTGGCTTCATATGAGCAGAGGAAATCTCCACTTGTGGCTAGGCTAATTTATACAATGTAAAATGCCATAGGCTTGTGCTAATAATGTTAGCATGTTGTATGTGTTTGGAAAACATGTTCAGTATAAGACAGTTTTGTCAGTGAACCTTGTGAGCTGTAATGGAGCCGAATTTTGTAATGTTACCTTTGTTAAATGTTGCTGTTGTCCCTGGCTTCATATGAGTAAAGGAAAAGTCTGTTAGCCGCTTAGCTAATGTATACAATGTAAAATGCCATAGGCTTGTGCTAACAACATTAGCATGTTGTATTTGTAGGGAAAATGTGTCCAGATAATGACAAGTGTTTGTCTGTGAATGCTGCGAGTTATAGTGAAGCTGATTCGAATGTTAATTATCTAACTGTACGGTAAGAACGTAACGTCATTCATAGGGCGCTAATTCAAAGGATATCATACAAACTGTCCTATGAGGATATGTTACGTTGGAGGATTCCGCCAGAGGGCACAACAGAGAACTGAGACCATGAAGAACTTGCTAGCTTAGCAGTTAGCTTAGCAGTCCATACAAAGCCATATAATAAATACATAACCACAGTAAAACCACGATTTGTCCTTTTGAAACTTTTTTGTACTAACTAAAGAAACCAGATAACGTGTTAATTTGTGAGCTCTTCAGTTGGCAGGTTTTGTTACGTCTGAACAGTGCCAGGCGAGCTGTTTGCCCCTGTTCTCACACCCGGGCCAAACAGAACCTCTTGTGTGAGCAGTGCGACTGAGGCGCCGCTTGGCTGCGGCTCATCTAGAGATTTGGAGTCTCGCCTATTTTTTTTCCATGAGATGGTTTGCAGCAAAAATAGACAGACAGTAATCTGTTGGTAGTCATACTGACATCATACCAGCAACAATACACCTTTCACAGCTATTTCAATGGCTCTATCTGTAAAATATATCCCAATCATGAAAAAAAACATATTATTTTTAACACAAAACTTCTTTTTTCCATTTCAAATGAAAAGCCCTAGAGCATTTCTGTTGACAGAATCCCTTCATTTGTTAACACGAGGCTTTTATTGTAAAATATTAATGGCTATTATCAAAGCCAAACTCTGTGTGCAAAAATAGGGCTGGCAGGCAGCAGTAACACTGTCTGTGTGAACACCACATGCAGGCCAGCCACAGCCATTCAACGAGGCACCCGTCACACACAGGTAGAGGAAGGCAGAGAAGCCCGGGCGTCAGTCTTTACACTAAACTGACAAGCTGCAGGCTGTAGCTTCACATTTACTACACAGACATGAGAGTCGTCTTCAACTTCTCATCACACTCTCGTCAAAAAACCGAATAAGTACATTTCCCAAAATCTTTCCCTTAAAAACGTGAAGTACTACTTACGTGATGACCTTTGATGGTCCATACATCATATTCACTTGAATTCTCTTGGCAAACCTCAGGGTGAATCCGGTTGTCTGGTGGGAAGATACCACAAAATTAGCATCAGAATTGCTGCCACTAAAAGTCAGAAATCACCAATATTATTATATAAGTTTAGAGGCTTTTACAGGTTCCACGTCCAGGTAGGTGGCGTGGTGCTCCTCGCTGGGATTGAGGCCCAGCACGGCCTCTCGTAGGGACTGACTGCCATGAAGGAAGTGGGGCAGAGAGATGTAGATCGGTTTTCCTGTTTAGGTGGCAAAGAAACAGACGAGTCAAAATACCAAGCTGCAGAACAGAGAGAAAGGTCTAGGTCCCGACACACCAAGCTAAGTAGTGTGTCCTGTACTGCTGGCATTCGTCGGCACCAGTCAGGTTTTTTTCCACCAATTCAGCAGCACAAACTTGTGATATGAGGTATAATTGTTTTTTGTTAGCCACTGAGCTCTTTGGCAGAAACATTACCTGATGGTTTGTGTAATTGTTCACTGGTACATGGTAATGGTATGGAGGGGTATGTCTTACACAGGTGCAGAATATGCATGCTTGTTAGCCGTCAATTTGGTGTATTCATGTGCAACTTTTTGGCTAAGACACAGCAACGTGAGGCAATGCAGCAGGTGGCTCTCGTTGCTGCTAGTTCTCTGAAGCTGGTTTGGTGTGTCTGGGCCTTTAATGCAACAGTGAGTAAGACTGAGGGGATTTGTGGGAGTGTAGAAGTGAGTATTGCAGATTGCAACCAACTAAAACTTCTCCTGGTTAGAATTTCTTCAGTGTTGATGAGGCTTTTACGGAAGCTGAATTATCCACAAAGGTCTCTTCCATTCTAGAACAAATGGACCTGTTGATTTAAACCAGTAAAAACACAAAATAAAGCTTCATGTAAAAATAAATAATCGTTTTTCCGATGCTCTTGATGCGCAGGGGCTTCTAACTGGAGCCAATGTTTGGTTTGTCTGTTCTGGGCTACTGTAGAAACATGGCAGTGCAACATGGCGCGATCTCCGTAGACAAGGACCCGCTCCCTATGTAAATATAAGCGGCTCATTCTAAGATGACAAAAACACAAAGATTCTTATTTTCAGGTGATTTTACACTAAAGTAAATATACTTATTACATTATATTTCATTTCTGCAAATATATCCTGCACACTGGACCTTTAACTCATGTGCTCAAGAAAACGAATGCTTACTGACCATCTTGACAGGAGCTGATGTCCAGAACTCCTGCCAGGGTGCAGTCCTTGGTAGTCTTTGGGTCTCTGCAGAAGCATCGATTATCTGGGTTGACCGTAGGGGAGGCCAGGGTATTTGGCTGGAGGGTGTAGCGATACACTTCAATCCCTTTCAGATCCAGTCTCGCCTCAAAGCCAGCTGACACAGACCTGAAGACAAAACAACACAGAGACTAGTACAAAAGTCTTCCAGAGACAGACCTCCATGTACCCAGTAATATCTGACTCTACTGTGCAGCATAATTCAGACCCTGGTGCATGGTTTTGGTGTTAGAAAGCTCTGACCTCTAGTGGTTACTGAGAGGAAAAGTCCAAATGGTTGCAAGGCTTAAATTAAGATGTTAAATCTCTCGTCGTTGACACTTACTGCCCCACTTAATGTTAGCAAAGCACAGTCAGACTACATCGGATGAAATTGCTCCCACGAAATGAAACTTTTCATCACCTGCAGATGTCTGACGAGAAGAAATAGAGCGGCTTTGTCTTGTCCACAAAGGGAGGGAATGAGGACGCATCTGAGGAAGAGGGGAGAAGTAATGAGCTGACTCCTCTGCATTTAGAGCTGCAGCAGTGTATTATAAGAGTAAAGCAGAATGAGCCAAACCTGTCCCGTTGATCATGTTACAGTACTTGTCGTCCCAGAAACGTAAGCTCCTGTTGGATGAAATGGAATTTGTCAGGCACACTATTTGATTTAACAACAGCCGAAAATTTCCAAAAGAAAAAATGGAAATCTCACATGTGGGAATCTGTACAACCTGATTAACCCGATTTCATTAAACAGCCAAAAATATTACAATAAAAAAAAACTGGATCGTCACTTGTCAAAATCTGTAGGAGCTGATTAAAAGATAAAAGCCTGAAATCCAGTCTCAGTATCTCCCTCGCTTAATTCAAAGTCAGGCTCACCTCTCTCCTCGCCATCTGTCAATTATGCCCACTTTTGAGATGTCGTCCTTTCCAGTGAAGACGTTGTAGTAGCCATCATACGTACCATTGTACTGGGAAAAACACATTTCACACAACTAATTAACAAAACTGGGCTGTTACTGGGTAGATGTTGTCTAGTGCTGTCCTGAATGTTTCGAAGCTTCAAAGCATCTACTGTTGCCATGGTAATTGACGTCCAAATCAGTATCCAAATGCTTCAGATTTATAAGCATTGCCCCAAAAACTCCAATAGCCCACAAAATAAGAAATAGTACATTTACATAGGTCTATTTATTTATGCATTTGTTTATATGCCTACATATGAGCAAATTCGTTTCTATGGACCATGGCTGATGTTTTCGTTTCAGGTAAAAAGAATAATCCTTGTAATCTGATTTTTGTCCTTGTGTCTCATCAGACTCATAATTAAAATAACAGGAAAGTATATAAATAATCACCACAAGTTTGAAGAAAGTATTATAGCTTGCATTACCACCCCCGGGCGAAGCTTCAAACATTTGTAGGTAACTCTCACTGAAGCTTCAAAGCATCAAAAGCCCAACTTCTATGTTAATTATTTTTAAGTTCATTCATTCATTCATTCATTCATTGTCCGTAACCATTTATTCTGTTAGGGTTCACTGGGGTGCTGGAGCCTATCCCATCTGACACTGGGCAAGAGGTGGGGTACACCCTGCATCGTCAGACTATCGGAGAGCTAGCACATAGAGATGGACATCCATTCACATGTTCAAATATATGGGCAATTCAGAGTCACCAATTAACCTGCATGTCTTTGGATGGTGGGAGGAAGCTGGAGTACCTGGAGAAAACCCATATGTGTAAGTGTAAGGCTGCAGTATGTGTTTACTCACAGGTGCAAATAGGCCCACAGTTCCTTTCAACATGGGGTCTTGGTATCCCCACAGCATTTCCCTGACTGTACGGTTCTGGAACAAGGAGGAGTTGCTTGATTTTATCAGAGCCTCCAATGCACCGTGAAGCACTTTGGGAACCAGTGAATAAGCTCCCTGGGAAAAAAAAGAGAAAAAAGCTGAAACATTTATCTTTATATTTGGAAAAGAATCAGTGGATGGTGTCAATTATAAAAGGCAACAGTGTGGATCTATAATGATACACATGGAGAACTGCTGTGCACACAAGTGCTGTGGTTGCCTCAGGAGATAAGCCAGAAAATAACCCTCTTTTATGACTGTGATACTGCATAATTACTGACAAACAGAGCTGGGTTTGTTCACGCTCATCATTTGAGCCTTATCAAAGTTTGAAGAGAAAGCAGTACATGCACCAACTGTACCCATAAACAAAGATTGCCACTGTAAAATGATGACTTTTTTGTCATTCATGCTTTTCAGACTCCCCATGTCTTTTTATACCACCAGTCATCAAACCTAACTTGATACTTTTTAAGTACCAAAAACTGTCATGTACCGATAACTTGCTCAGGTTCATCGTCTTTTTTCTTTTTGTGAATGGACAGTTCCTGATTTCAGTCCAAATTAGCTGTGCTAGCTGTGTATTTATGAAAAACATGCTCGGAGTCGCCAAAGTAAACTCAAAAATTAGCCTGCTGCATCCGTTTTTATAGCTAACTTCCAGGGCAACTAGCCCACTAACCGAGCTAGCTGTGTATTTATGAAAAACATGCTCGGAGTAGCCATAGTAAACACAGAAATTAGCCTGCTGCATCAGTTTTTATAGCTAACTTCCAGGGCAACTAGCCCACTAACCAAGCTGTGTATTTATGAAAAACATGCTCGGAGTAGCCAAAGAAAACACAGAAATTAGCCTGCTGCATCAGTTTTTATAGCTAACTTCCAGGGCAACTAGCCCACTAACCAAGCTAGCTGTGTATTTATGAAAAACATGCTCGGAGTAGCCATAGTAAACACAGAAATTAGCCTGCTGCATTAGTTTTTATAGCTAACTTCCAGGGCAACTAGCCCGCTAACAAAGCTAGCTGTGTATTTATGAAAAACATGCTCGGAGTCGCCAAAGTAAACACAGAAATTAGCCTGCTGCATCAGCTTTTATAGCTAACTTTTTGGGAAACTTGCCCACTAACAAATTTAGCTGTGTATTTCTGAAAAAAATGCTTGATTGCTGAAGTAAACACAGAAATTAGCCTGCTGTATTAGCTATGTAATTTACTGTGCACTACTTCCAAAGAAGCCTGCTAGAAACCAAGCTAGCTGCCTATTTATCTACGCACAGAGATTAACTGTAAGTTTAAATGTCTTATACTGAGGTGGGTCAACACGAGAATAAAACCCAACTAGAAAATATTGGAATTTTTCTTTTACGTTTCAATAGTTTGGCTTTTTTTGGTAAATAAAAGACAAGAGTTTTGTTGAGAATCAAGTTAATAGTATTCCTCAAAGTATGGTACTGAGAAAGTATTTGTGTCAGTACGGAAACGCAAGCCTTAGCTAGCCCGAGCCAAGCTTAATTTTATTTCCTTTTTTTTTTTTTCTTCTGAAACAATTCTTCATTAATTGCATACTACAGTACAGGCCAAAAGTTTGGACACACCTTCTCATTCAATGCGTTTTCTTTATTTTCATGACTATTTACATTGTAGATTCTCACTGAAGGCATCAAAACTATGAATGAACACATGTGGAGTTATGTACTTAACAAAAAAAGGTGAAATAACTGAAAACATGTTTTATATTCTAGTTTCTTCAAAATAGCCACCCTTTGCTCTGATTACTGCTTTGCACACTCTTGGCATTCTCTCCATGAGCTTCAAGAGGTAGTCATCCCGTCTACCTCCTGATGACAATGTCAGCTAATGTAATCAGAACTTTTTCACTTTTTAAATTTTGATACGATACATATGAAATGTACAGATGTAACGTATCCATAGTTTGCAGAAACGTACAATGCCAACGTTTTCCACTGGTGACTGGGCTACTTCATGATGTGTTGCACTGGCTTCTCTGGAGTCTCCAGTTAAATCTGAAGGGTTGCTAATGATCAATGGGATAGGAAGAAAAAAAAAATCTATACTGTGCAATTTCTCTAATTCTTCCTTTTCCTGTGAAATCCTGGCAACTTTTCACAACAAACTTATTCAAAGGAACAAGCTGGTGAGCCACAAATAACCTATCACAGAGGGTCACGAGCCAAAAAGGTTGGGAACCACCACTAAAAAGAGCAGTTACAGACTAAAGCGACCCACTTTGCAGGGCAACACAGCTTGCCTTGGCACAGCTTGCCTTGGCCTTGGAACAGAGTAACTATTAACAGTAGAGTGGAGTCAGGAATCACCGCACAGTGGGGTGACACTCACTTACAGCCACAGCCAGGTTGAGAGAGGTGACTTTCTCTTCCTCTGATCCCACTGACATGGACGGCTCAAAGATGGCGCCCATAGGCAGCAGGTATGAGACAGTTTGATTGGGGTTGAATGTGACTTTCTCTTTGGCCAAATATCTTGTCCTGAAGGGGGAGAGGGTCTTACTCAGATGTTGTTATGTCTCGTATATCAGATGAATGTGATGATGCAGTGACAGTAGTGCCAATTCTGAAGCCGTTCATCAAAAGGTTACAGAACAGGAACATAAATCAGCCTTACCTGTACGTGTAAGGTCCTTTTTCCACGACCACTGGATTTGCTCCCTTCTGCAAAACCTCCTGGGCATTTTGCACGTCAAAGAACCAGAACTGCCTGTACACCTGTGCCCCTGCAGACGCCCAGTTGTCATAAGCTGTCGTTCCAGGCTCAATGACGGCTTCCTAAACCCAGCAGACACACAGACAGTCTATTTTTAACATACCTCAAGACTGCCAGCAGGCCAGCTGCCCCACTGATACATGAAAAGGGTGGATGCTCTGTTACAGGAGGAAAAAAAAGGTCTAAGCCGCTAAATTTTTCTCCACGGTGTCTAGTAAAAAAATCACAGATGCCGATCTTTTGATGGATAAAAACAAGGCACAGTTGGCTTTCTGCACAGCTTCTTGTTTACCATTTGAAGCAGCTTTCCAAAATGCACGCCTCTTCCCTCTCGTTTCTCCTGAATCACCTTGATCTCCACGTACTAACTCAGGCACATTCACACACTCTGTCACTCCCTGTTCTCTAACTCGAGGGGTGAAACTCAGCACCATACCTTCTCCACTGTCCCCTCAATGACGCTGTTCCCCACTGGGATAAGGACGCCTCCCAGGACGGCTACCACCGCCCCAAACACAGCTCCGGCTATCAGCCCGCACCTTCTGTTACAGCAGCCCATGGTGGTGTGCGTTTCCCTCCGTCAGTCCGTACGGCTGTCTGTCTGCCTGGCAGCCTGTTCTCCTTCTGTCTCTGTGTTTGTGGTGTGTGCTAGTATATGTGCAGCTTGTCTGTGTTTGTGTCCTGGCAGCAGCAGCAGGCAGCAGTGGCACAGACAGGCTGTACCATCAGAGGAGCTGATGGAGCAGCCGAGGCCAGGTAAAGGTATACACACCTCTGGCAGGCACCCAGGGACCTCCCATCAAAGAAGTTATATAATAGCAAGCAAGGTTTAAGGTTCAGCTGAGAATTATCACCCCAAGTATGAGTAGGAACTCCCTGAGCAGGTGATAACAGCCACAGTAGACTGAGTGTAGATGTAAATAAAATAAAGCTAATTTCTGATTCCAGAGCCACGCCATTTTTCTTTTGTTTCAGTCATTTTAATACGTTTCAACACCTAGTAACACTAAGCCTTGACTTGAACATTCAAGAGGGTTTATCAGGATGTGAGCTATCAGTTCTAGATATTCAGTGACCTGGATGATAACAACGTTCATAGAGATTTCATTCTCTTCTTTCCCATTCTGCATCTTATCTGTCCCTCTCTATCTGCTCATCTCTTGTCTTCTACACGATTTCTGCTCCAAGCTCCGAGCTTACAAGAGACCGAAAAGGAGGAACGTATAAATGATTAAGTACTGTATATCCTCATTGTGCAGACACAGTGAAAAAAGGAGCTTATCTGCATTTGTGGTTGTGTAATTTCATAAGAGACATTTAAATGAATTGCTCTTTATCTCTCTTAAGGACATTTTGCTCAGTGCTTATCTTGATTTTCTTCAGTGATTTCCTTGCACATGGAGTTTTGGAGCGTAATCAGCAGCATTGTAACAGTGGTTGTGCACATGATGATTGATGGATGCAATCCTTTTTTTGTACTCTTTGCCAAGATTTAAAGTAGGGAGCCAGGTTTTGCATAATTTAATTGGCATTTCCACGTCCCACTGTCTGCTGTCTATCTCTTCCCCCAGACAAAAATTGTGTACCTTGGCATGTCACACAAGGGTCACTTAAATGTGGTTTAGTAGCTGGTCTACTAGAAGAGACTGACAGGTGAGTCATTCTGGCTATGATGCAGGAATAAGTACTTGAAGAAGGTACTTAGGCACGTCAGTGGACTTGTGAGAGACAGCAGCCCAGTCGCCAGAAGAAAATGTTGGCTTTGTACATTTCTGCAAACTGCAAATATGTTGGATTTGCATTTGTATGAAATTTGTAAATACTATATTTCTGAATTGATGTTGTAAATGAACTGACACCAAGGTGAGATCCTTGTCAATCTGCAGACCTCTGAAGACCACTCTTCGAGACCATCAACCAACAGAACAGGGTGTGATTTAGCAACCTGTCTGTGTTTATCCACTGGGGATAGTGCCTCAAAAAGGGATTGTTTTACTGAGACTTCCATCCAAAAGAGGTCCACAAAAAGTGGTTGTTTAGCACCGAGATATCGCTATGTTTCCAGCTGGGGTAGTGTCACAAAAAGCAGTTGTTTTTACCAAGACAAGTCTTTGATTCCTGCGAGGACATTGCCACAAAAAGAGGTTGTTTTTTACTTACATACTGTGCATTTCCTGCTGGGAAGTTGTTTTTGCAGACATGTCACTGCATTTCCAGACAGGATAGTATCACAAAAAGTTATTGTTTTTACCAACACGTGGCTACATTTCCTTCCGGGATAGTGCCAAAAACAGCGGTTGTCTTCTACTGAGACGTTGCTACGTTTTGTGCCAGAACAGCGCTACAAAAAGAGGTTGTTTTTAACCAAGACGCCGATGCATTTCCTGCTGGGATAGTGTGAGCAAAAGTAGTTGTTTTTACCAAGATGTCACTCCGTGTCCTGTTAGGACGATGCCACAAAAAGCGGATGTTTTTTCATGAGATGTCGCTGCATTTCTTGCTGGGATAGTGCCACAAAAATAGGTTGTCACTGTGTTTCCAGCTGGGTCAGTGCCACCAAAAGCAGTTGTATTTTGCCGAGACGTTGCTGTGTTTGCTGCCGGGATAGTGCCACAAAAGGTGTTGGTTAATACCATACAACGCTGTCTTTCCAGTTGGGATAGTGCCACAAAAACGATTGTTTTTTCACCAAGATGTGGCTTTGTTTCCTGCCAGGACAGTACCACCAAAAGAGGCTGTTTTTTACTTAGATGTCACTGCATTTCCAGATGGTATAGTGCCACAAAAAGAGATTGTCTTTTACCCACATGTTGCCGTGTTTCCAGCCAGCATAATGCCACAACAAGTGGTTGTTTTTTTACCAGGACAGGGCTTCATTTCCTGCCAGGAAAGTGCCACGAAAGGCGCTTGTTTTTTTACTTGGATGTCACTGAATTTCCTGCTGGGATAGTGCCGCGCAAAGAAGATACGTTTGTCGACAAGTCAGTGCATTTCCAGGCAGAAAAGTGTCACAAAACATGGTTGTTTTTAACAAGACATGGCTGCATTTCCCTCCAGCATAATGCTACAAAAAGCGTTTGTCTTCCACTGAGGCGTTGCTATGTTTGGTGCCGGGATAGTACTACAAAAACAGGTTGTTTATGGCCGAGACGTTGCTGTGTTTGCTGCCAGGAGGGTACCACAACAAATGTTTTTTACCGAGACATCACTGCAATTCCAAGTGGTTATTTTTTCCTGAATCACCGCTGTCTTTCTAGCTGGGATTGTGCCCAATGTGTGCACCAAACCCAGGTATTTTAAGCCAAAAGATGCTCTTTACCTAACCATGACCAAGTGCTTTTTATGTCTAAACCTAACTACACAAGTGTAGTGTGTCAGTGATTTGCAGAAACATAGAATGCCTACATTATATCAGGTGACTGGTTCAGAGACATATTGATAAAGGGAAAGGCCAAAGTCTGTCCAGCAGAGCGATCTTTCTTTCTTCCTCTCTCCAAAACGCTGGATCCTACACTTCCCACAATGCAACTGAATAGTGCCTTTTTCTCTACACCATCCCTTCCCGGTAAATGCACAAAGTATGTTCTTCTCAGTGGAGTGCCCCTTTAAAACGACAACCTTTTCAACACTACATCACTGCTCGGCGCTGTGCTGTAGGGTTGAACATACAGTCCTTATAATGTATATAAAGCACTGCAGCACTGTGAAGTTACCCACCATCACCACTGGAGGGCAGCACCAGCATTCCCTCACCACTGACTGCATGGTGAGTACAGAAGGCCTGTCCATCTGGTTCATCCTGAGTGTCTGTGCCAAAGACCTGTCCCTGTCTATTCAAACAAACATTCATGTCGACACACTTTGAATCTCACCTGACTGACTCTCTTGTTGATCCTGCAATTACAGCTTCAATATTTGGATTAGATTTCACTTTGTGTGGGCACATAAAACACCTAAAGACTTTCGCTTTCTCTGCCAGCTGCTGTAATGTTTTTATAGAAAACGCATAATTAATCATAATATTTATGAGTATTTTTTTGTTTGTTTGCTTGTTTTATACTCATATTAAACTAGCTGTACTTTTGACCACCATTTTTGTAATTCCTAATGTTTAATTGGGGGTTCTAAATATGTTTGGTTTAATAAGTAATGTTTTGCAAAATTAAACTCTGCATCTCTGCTCCTGTGGGTTAAATGTGTGTTTAACAAACCAGTTTGACCTTATTCATGTGGAAAGATCAGTGTACACAGGAGATAATATGCCATCTTTCCTTTCATGGTTTATTTATTCACATGATCGTATAACAAATAAAGTTTCATCTTATGTTATTTACAGATTTGCAGAAATATCCACACACACAAAAAAGAAATAACATTTGAAATGAGATGAAAGTAGAATTAAAAGCTCCTAATATAGCAGCAGAGGTACACAAAGGTATTACACTTTTGAACATTGTCCTTTTGAAAGAACATGATACCTGTGTCCGTGGTATTTTCCGTGTTACATAAAATGACGTAACCTTTTTTTGCCTAAGGGATACACCCTGCGGCTCTTGTTATCTCAAACCTGGAGAGAGGCCTGGGTGACAAAGAGGGAAACCTCCAGCCAGCGTAGGATCAGAATGGAAAGGTCAGCACCACAACATTTGCATGTATTCCCAAAAAGCCACGTCAGAAATGAAAATTGTATGGAAAGGCAGGGTTGTTTACACCACAGGGATGTGTGTGTGGAAGATTTTTAAAGTGAACACTGCACACCTTTAGACTGACTGCTGACTTTCAAGACCCACACTTGACTTTGCCCGGCAGGCTAAATTATTTAAACCACAAACAATGGTCATGTACAGCTGAATGGGGAGGGGATGGGACACTGACACGGTTCCCATGGGAACAATACATGCAAGAAATGTAGGTTACAGGGTTACAGTGTAGCCTAAACAAATAATATGATCAGGTAAGTGTTAGATAGTATATGTGTATATCACTGGAAATAAATATAATATATTCTAACATGTCTTTTAAGGTATTCAGTTAAACTCATGTCATTGATAAACCCAAGGTAGGCTAAATAATTATTATCTTTATTATATATCAAAATAAAAGGCACGTGCAAAGTGAAAATTATGATTTTTTTGTAATTATTGGTGAGTAAAGTTAGGGGTGTGGAGGTGTGAAATGCGCTCTCAGGAAGTTTCCGGTTTGGGCGTCTACCTTCAAAATAAAAGCGTCAGAATGCAGAAGAACTGTAAGACCTGTAGGACTGACTAAAATTCATCCATTGAAAGCACTGTAAAAATGTATCCTTGGTTGTAAATGGATATGATGTATGCATGTATTATGTTACATACTAATTCCAGGTATGACCTTCAGGAATAGTCAAATATTTTCGGTTGTTCATAAAATACCAGGCTGTCCAAGTTAGATACTTTTACATGTGGGACATTATAGGACTGAAAATGAAGCCAGGATTTGGACATGTATTTGGGGAAATAACATATGCCCTGTACATTTCAGCAGTGATTCATTCTGCAAATACTCTGGAGGCATTTTGCCCCAACACTGTCAAACGCCTTTATCTGACAGTGGACAGTAGATAAGTGACAGAAAAAGACAATAATTTTAATATTAAAGTTAATGTAAAAATAATTTTTTGGTTTGTTTGTTTTTGAACTGCTCAAATATGGTCTAAATTAGGTTGTTGTGATATGCCTGTATTGAGGATTACTGTGATATTTAGAGAATGAATCCACTGCACCA